ACTTGCTAAATGTTAGCTATCACTATTATTGGTATACAAATTTTGACTTTCCAGATCACACTCCTGAACACATCACATTAACATCCCTTTCTTCTTCCTAAAAATAATAATTCACTAGATTTGTCACTGGTTAAGTCATTCCAGAAAAAGGAAGGAGGGAAGAAAACAGAAAGCTCAGCCAGGACAGTAAGGATGCAAATTGCTACAAGCTTTCTAAACGGCAATATGTATCAAAAATCTTACACTTAGCATGTACTGTACTTTGATCCTGCAAATCCACTTCTAGAAATTTACCCTACAGGAAAAAAAAAATCTCACAAGTATACACAGATGTGTACATAGGAGAATACTCACTGCAGAGTTTTAACTGTGGGGGAAAAGGAAACAAACTAATGTCTGATAAAAATTAATTGGTTAAATTATCACAGACATATAAAATGAATCATATTCAGTTATTAAACTATTATAACTGACAATATAGACATGGAAAGATTCATGGTAACATGTTAAGCCAAAAAAAGAAGTTACAAAATAATCATGTATAGCAAGTCCCATATTTGTTACCAAAAATTGTATATAAAAAGCCACATGCACACACAAAAGAGGGTTTGGAGAGATATGTACTGAGGTAGTGGATTTATGAGTATTTTATAGTTTTTACTTTTCTGTATTTCAATTTTTCTACCATAAAGATGCAATTCTTTAAAATACAAGGGATATGAACTGATAAGAAGTTTGGTTCTGAAATATACAATGAAGCTAAAAGTGATGACAAGATTTATCTTTATTTAGAAAAAAACCTTTATTTACATAATACTTGATGGTCTATTAGATACTTTTAATGGTTAGTTATCCAATTAAAAATTATACATATTTAGAGGCACCTGGGTGGCTCAGTGGTTAAGCGTCTGCCTTCGGCTCAGGTCATGATCCCAGGGTCCTGGGATCGAGCCCCGCATCGGGCTCCCTGCTCCTTGGGAAGCCTGCTTCTCCCTCTCCCACTCCCCCGCTTGTGTTCCCTCTCTCGCTGTCTCTCTCTGTCAAATAAATAAAAAAATCTTTAAAAAAAATTATATTTAGTATCAAGAAATAGAGACTTTGGGTGATGGATTTCTACCATCAAGTGCAGCAGTACAAGAATTAAATGGGTTAGTTTTTGAGTTTGATATATCCTTATATACCCCAATTCCTTATCATCATAATTACCATTCATTGAATGAAGATATCTCAAAAACTTATGTAAGCACTTTGAAGTATTTAAACTTAACCCACTATTATTACTCCCATTCAGTTGAAAAAAACTGAGACATTGAAATGTTAAGGGACTGATCAAAGTCACAGACTGTGGGGTCAAACCCAATATCCTATAGAAATTTTACTCCTAACTGTTCAGCACCCTCAACTATATAACAGAAACTGTTATTTATGGGGCCCTACACTGGATTCTGAAAGAAAGGAATGAAGGTCATATTTTATTAGGATGAAAAATGAAATTGGAAAACATACCAATTTTCTGTATTTTTTTGTAAGCCAATTTTTACAGCATTATTCGGGCTTATCATAGCTTTAAAAATGGTATTTTGAGATCGTGATAACATAGTAATTTACCACTACACTTTGACTTAAATTTACATTTTGAGTCTTTAAGCAGTATTTTTTTTTTCTAAGCAGTATTTTGATAGGAGCCTTCTTTCCAGCTTAATCACCTTGAGCAGGCTATGCTTGGGAAAGGTTCTCTCTTTTTCAGCGCCAACCAAACTTATGGAAATGACCAGGCATAGTACATGGGGCTCCTAATTTATAAAATCAGTGATGACTAAGTAATAAGATTAATTTTACAAGAAAAGGTTTTAAAACGTGGCCTCATTGCCATGTTACTCACTCATAAATATTTAATGGAGTTCCTCTGGGCATTATTCTAGGCACTGGAGATAGAATGATGAGCCAAAATCTCTGCTCTTCTGAAACCTTTATTATAGGTGCATTATATATCTGAAGGTTATAGTCAGATTTTTATTAGCAGCCTAAGGTATAAAACTTAGTGTGTTACTTAAAATATCTGCTGTCCATTTCAGGAGATGGTCTGAGGAGATGCTCAGCGAGAAGGAGGCACAGTGTCCATGGTCCTCCAACTTGACTATCCCAGGAGAAATTCCTGGAGAACTTGTTTAAAAAACCGATTCCAGGGCCCCACCTCCAGGAGTCTGATTCTGAGGTGAGGTGACAAAAACCCTCTATTTTTATTTATTTATTTTAAAGATTTTATTTATTTATTTGACAGAGAGAGAGAGACAGGAGAGAGGGAACACAAGCAAGGGGAGTGGGAGAGGGAGAAGCAGGCTTCCCGCGGAGCAGGGAGCCCTATGCAGGGCTTGATCCCAGGAGCCTGGGATCATGACCTGAGCCAAAGGCAGAGGCTTAACCGACTGAGCCACCCAGGTGCCCCCAAAACCCTCTATTTTTAACAAGAACTTACTTAATGCTGATCTAAGTGATCTGAGGTCCAAACTTTGAGAAACCCACCAGTAAGTGGAGCCATTCACAATAAAATGATTATTCAGAAGAGAATAGCTCTATGGCAGTGGAATTTGAACTGATTATCATAAACCCAAACCTCCTGTATTTAGCTCTGTATAATTCACAAATCTAGCAAATTTAAAAAGATGAGTAAGGGGCGCCTGGGTGGCTCAGTTGGTTAAGCGACTGCCTTCAGCTCAGGTCATGATCCTGGAGTCCTGGGATCGAGTCCCACATCGGGCTCCCTGCTCAGCGGGGAGTCTGCTTCTCCCTCTGACCCTCTTCCCTCTCGTGCTCTCTCTCTCTCATTTTCTCTCTCAAATAAATAAATAAAATCTTTAAAAAAAAAAAAAAAGATGAGTAAGAATGGAGCAATTTACCAGCACCTCCTCCTTTACGTCTTATGGGAGATTTGAATTTGCCTCAGTCTAGGCATTTGGTGAAAAGATGAACTTGAGTTCTACCAACAGAAGAGATAATCATTAAGAAAAAGGAAATTTCTAGTCAACTGCAAAAAAAAAATGCTAAGAGGGACAAACATTTCACGGAACTAACTTGCTACCACTCATTTTATGCCCTATTTCACAATGCTTAGTATCTGAACAATCCACAGGGTTCCAAAGTACATCAAAAATTTGTTCATTTCCTCTCCTACTCAGGCAGAATAGTAATAATAGAGTATTGTGAAGGTGCCATGTGCCTCAGCAATTTCAACAGATACATTCTTAGATAAAGAAATACCATTTTAAAAAAATCTATCAGAAATGCTCCTTAGTGGAGCTACTTGAATTAGTTTTAAATAGTTTTAATGCCACCGCTAAATTAGCGTCCCTCATTTCCAATTTAGATTACTTAAAAGTTCCTAGGTTCTTTACCAACCTCCTACAGAAAAAATTCCCTTCCATATTATAATTACGTGCATTTTTAGTTATAATAAGCAAACACCCACCAGTACAACACAACTGTGTCATGTAAACTAGAAAAAAAAATTTTAAGGAAAAACAGCATTTTGTTCTCAGAGATAGGTAGAAATCCTAACTTTGAGGGAGGGTTTTAAGTTTCTGCACGTTAAATCATCTAAAAATTAAGGTATCCAACAAACACATCCCTTCCATTTTAGAGGTTAAGAGTAGCACTTCACAAACCAGCTGGCCTGCTGGTCCTGGCTCCAGGTCCTAACCTCAGATCCTGTCCACTACCTAATCCATGAGATCTCTGAGCCTGTTCTTCATCCGTTCAAAGGGATTAGTAACATTGCCTCTCCGTTAACGGCACTGAGGTTTTCCAGATGCATCTGTTTGTATGGTATCTGTTTTTATTATCTGTTCTTCTTATTGTACTTGCTTATATTATTTGTACGTTTGACCACGGATATAGCAAGAGTAGGATCCAGGAGATAAGCACAAAGAAATGCATCTGTCCGGAGTAGGCATATATTTAAATTTTCAGGCTGGTGCTGCCTTCAGAATAGCACTGATGATGACAAAGTTCTAAAGGAAACTTTCATATTAAGAGGCTATCAAAAATCTCCATAGCCACCCACTCCACAGAAAAAGGCTCTAATTTATTTTTTCAAAAGCAAAGCCTTCCTTAGTCTGAATCACAACAAAAGATGCCCATAGGAAGTGTTATCTGCGAAGTTGTTTTCTAATCCAAAGGCAAATAGAAGTAAAGGAAGCTGCAACCCATTCCTCGTCGGTTTCCTTTTCCTGGGGATTCTGATTACATTTCCTCGTTCAAGCAAGAAGAGACCGCAATTGTGCCCTGGGTCCACACCATAAGACCGCGTCTGTGCGTAAAGAAGGGAAGGAGAAGCGACAGACCCCGGGGACGCGCTCCCACGGAAAGGAAAGCCGCTTTCTGTTAAATACCATCAGAGTCAGCCCCGGCGGGACGAAACGGCATTGACTGCCCTTCACTGACAGGGATTTTGCAGGCACACGACAGAGAAAAAGAGATGAGCCGGGGACTCGAGGCCCGAGGGAGAGGCGGGCGGTGCGATGCCGCTCCCCGCGAGCTCCGGATCCCCGAGAGGCTGGCGGGGAGGCGAGGCTTGGCCAGCCCGCCACGCTCAGGCGGCCGAGGGCAGCGAGGTCAGCCCTGGAAGGGCCGACCGCCCCCACGCCCCCTGGGGAGGGAGGCACCCCGCTCGGCCGGCCAGGGCTGCGGACGCCCATTCAGCCCGAAGCCCGTCCAGCGGCCGCCACCCCCTCGGCCGGCCGCGGCGTCCCGGCCTCCCGGCGCCGATAAGCCGGCCAGGCGGCCGCTCCGCCGCCACCCCCGGGAGGATGGGGAAGGACGAAACGCAGGGGTGGCCGGTGCCGCGCCTCCGGGGCACACGGCAAAGGCTGAAGGGCGGCCCGAGGGACGCGCGCTGGCCCGGGGGACGGGCGCCCCGGGCGGCCATCGCGCCGACCCCCGCGCCGACCCCCGCCCCCCGTCGCCTCCCCGTCCTGGCCGCCGCCGTCCAGCCCGCTCCTCACCTCATCTCCAGGCGGGTCCGCGCTGCCGCCCCAGGGACAAATCAGTGCAGCTTACTCGCCGCGGGGAGGGACGCAGGAGCCGCAGGAGCCGCAGCCCCGCACACCATCCCCGCCCGCCTGCCCGCCTGCCCGTGCGTCCCGGAGCCCGCTCGGGATTCTCCCTCGCGAGCCGCCGTACTACGGAGCAACCAAGCTGCGCTCCCTCCCCTCTCCTCCGCTCTTCTCTACCTCCTTCGCTCCCTCCCTCGCTCCCTCGCTCCCACCTATCTCCTCATCTCCCTCCGCAGCCTCTCCCGCCCTCATCCACCCCTCCATCTCCGCCCACAGATGGGTGGGAACCAACAGTTGGCCAATCGGAAGAAGAGGCCCGCACCTCCTCACCGCCCCCTACCGCTATGCCCGCCCACTGCAGGGACGAGGGAGGGGGCAATTTAAAAAAATGGAAAAGGACGGAGTGACAGCCAAATTAACCAATCAGCAGGCGCAAAGGGGGTGGGAGTAGGACGGCTTTTTCTTCCCGCCCCCTTCCCAGAAGGCGTAACCAAAAGCTTCTGGTCTGGGATTTCCCTGACGGGGCTTATGGAGATTTTGTTGCATGGTTTTGGTGCATCTGTCCGTTGTCGTGCGAGGCACTAGTTAGGATGCACTCAGCTACATTAGTTACAAAAGGTTTTAAAGGAGAGAACAACGTAGAGGCAAAAAAGACGCGGGTTATAGTCTAGGGAAGGCGGTAGGGCAAACGGTTGGAATGAGGAAGGGTGGGGTCTTTAATAGAAATTTGCATAAAACGGAACCTATCCGGGAGACTACAATTTCGCCCATTTATTGGTAGCCACTGGCGCGACGCTTCTCCTCCAGGCGGAGTATTCCGGGAGATGTAGTTCCGAGTTCGGTTGCTATGGCGTTCTCCGCAGCCTCCGGTCCAGGAGTGACGAGCAGCCTGACCAATGGGAGCAGCGCCTGGGCCAGCGGGGGCGGGCTCCCTATGCAAAAGGACTCCAAGGTGGCGGTGGGGAAGACGCAGGCCGTTGGGGCGGCTCGGAGGCAGGTGAGCCCCCGGACCTGGGTTCTGTCTTGGGAAGCGGGGCTTTGGGCTTTGGACGCCTCGCGGAACCGTGCAACCCTAGGGTGAATGGTGGTTGGTGTTGCACCCCAACCCCAGACCCCCTCAGGCCCGGGCCTAGCTTAGCTGAGCGACGGGAAGGACTTGACTGACGATTTCCTGGTCCTTACAGGTTTTGATTGTTGGTTTTAGCTCAGTTTGCATCTCCCTCTACATTTATAGAAGCAAAAGTCGAAGTTCCCTTTCACCGAATCTCCCAGGTTCGATTTTTGCCCCCCAGCTTTCCTTTTGTTCTGAGTTTCTTTTCTCTTTCTCCCGTACTCCGTCTCTGCCACCGCTTTCCGCCCCCGCTTCACTTTCCTTTTTCGGTGAACAATTACCTAAAGCAAGGGTATTCTCATTTACGTGATTATACTGCCGGGTTTGCCCTCTTAAGGTAAACAGCGAAAAACTCTGGAGCTAGGCGTGACAGCCACCTCAGAATCATCTTGAAGTGCAGATGCTGAATTTGTAGGGCTGGGCGGGGCCGAGACTGCCTTTCTCACAACCTCCCGGGTGACTGCTAGTCCACGTTCTGAGTAGCAGGGTGTTCTACATCAGCTCTGCTCAATACAAATATAATGCGGGGCACTTAATTTTAAGTTTTCTGGTAGCCACATTAAAAAACATGAAACACATGAAATTAATTTTCACAATGTTTCGTTTAACCCAATATATCCAAAATTTACCATTTCATCCCATAATCAAATACTTTAAAATGGAAATATTATAAATGCTTGTATTTATTAGTTTTTTTTTTTTTTTAAAGTAAGCTCTACGCCCAACGTGGAGCTTGAACTCACAACCCCGAGATCAAGAATCGCCTGCTCTACAGACTGAGCCAGCCAGGCGCCTCAATTCTTCTTCCTTTTTTTTCCTTATACCGTCTTTGAAATCGAATGTGTGTTTTACCTTGACAACACGTCTCAGTTCTGACTAGGCCCAGTTCAAATGTTCCTTAGCCACGTGTGGACTAGTCACCGCTGTTATTGGCCAGCGCAGGTCCAGATGATCTAGGTGCCCCCTGCAGAAATTAAAAGGTGGTAAAGCTTGAACAGTTGCATGTGATCAAACTCTTTGCTGCTCTGTGAGATGGGCCTGGGAACTACTTTAGAGAGGTTCTCTGCCCAGTTTGCAGAAATAATAGCAAAAATATCCGGCACTTACTGAACGGTTATTTTGTGCTGGGTGTTGTACTGAGTGCTTTGCTTGTATTGCTTCATCTTTACAACAACCCTTGGAGGTAACTACTATGATATTTTGTAGATATGGAATCTAAGGTCTAGAAGGTTAAAATTTAGAAGCCTAAAGCCATACAGCCAGGAAGTAGGAGAATCAGGATTCAAACTCAGGTCAGTTTTGACTTCTAAATCCTGTCAATCACTGCAGTGTATGATTATTATTTTTTAACCAATGATTTCACTTCATTGATGCCTCTGCTCCAGTTTATGGCAGATGAAATGTTCTGACTTGAAACAGAGAGGGTTTCCTCAAGGTCAATTTGCCTATCAGTTGGAGTGACATATTTTGGTAGTATTATAAATATTCCATGCTATATATACATTTTTTAAAGTAAGCTCTAGCCCTACATAGGGTGTGAATTCAGGACCCCGAGATCAAGAGTCTCATGCTCTAGGGGCACCTGGGGGGCTCAGTTGGTTGAGTGTCCGACTCTTGATTTTGTCTCGGTTTGTGGTCTCAGAGGGGTGGAATGGAGCCCCGTGTTGGGCTGTGCGCTCAGCACAGAGTCAGCTTGTCCCTCTCCCCCTGCTCCTGCTCTCTAGCTAGATCTAAAATAAGTAAGTAAAGGACGCCTGGGTGGCTCAGTTGGTTAAGCGACTGCCTTCGGCTCAGGTCATGATCCTGGAGTCCCGGGATCGAGTCCCGCATCGGGCTCCCTGCTCAGCGGGGAGTCTGCTTCTCCCTCTGACCCTCCCCCCCTCATGTGCTCTCTCTCTCTCTCTCTCTCTCATCCTCTCTCTCTTTCAAATAAATAAATCTTTAAAAAATAAAATAAAATAAGTAAGTAAAGTCTTTAAAAAAAATTGTATGCTCTACCAACTGAAGAGGGACAAGCGGACTCTGCAGTGAGCTCAGAGCCCAACTTGGGGCACCATCTCACGACCCCAAGATCGTGACCTGAGCTGACACCAAGAGTTGGAGGCTTAACCGACCGAGCCACTCAGGTGCCCTTCTGTGCTGTATTATAAATAATAAAAGATATTAATTCCCCAGTACTATATCCTGGGCAGTAATGTGTCTTGATGCATTTGTGTACCTCTCTGAAGAAAGAGGAATGGGAAAGCTTGGAAATTCTTAAAATATTTCACTGTGGAGTCGCAGTGTTTTTTTGGTTTTGTTTGCGGGCCCTCTGCAAAAGGACTCCAAGGTGGCGGTGGGGAAGACGCAGGCCGTTGGGGCGGCTCGGAGGCAGGTGAGCCCCCGGACCTGGGTTCTGTGTCTTGGGAAGCGGGGCTTTGGGCTTTGGACGCCTCGCGGAACCGTGCAACCCTAGGGTGAATGGTGGTTGGTGTTGCACCCCAACCCCAGACCCCCTCTGGGCCCACTGAACGGTACTATGCTAAGGTGAGTTTTATGATTAGAAGAGCAAAAATACATATATCTACACATGCTAAAATATGATATTTTGCAAAATATTTACATTGTAAGAAATACATTTCTATTTTCTATTTCTACATTGTAAGAAATACACATCTTGTGAATTATTTTCTCTTCATTGTGGATTGACAAATATTTAATTAAAATTACAAATCCTTTTTTGCTTCTGGAGCAAGAAATGGTTTCTTAAGATCCTATAGTGGATTGGAAAATTAAATAAGCATTTACAAACTGCAATAATGTTAGTTAAAAAACGATTGTTTAAATCAGTTGGAGAAGGGAGAGTGTGGTAGAGATTTAGAAAGGATTCCTCTGTTGCTTATTTCCCTCATCACCACCTGCATTGTCCCAGTGTTAAGCTAGCATAAAGGGGAAAAGGTCATTCATCACATCACACCATTGCCATAATCAGAAGAGGCTGTAGCTTTAATATGGTCATCATATCCCCCATTCTCTCCAACTGATGCTTGAATCCCGTTTATGAAGCCATTGTAAATGTGTATCCAGCCTCTGTTTAAATCAGGCTCCATGCTCAGCGAGTCTGTTTCTCCCTCTCCCTCCCCCTGATCATGATTTCTTTCACTTTCTCTCTCTCTCAAATAAATAAAATCTTTAAAAAAAAAAGAAGAAGAAGAAGAAGCAGAGGGAGCTCATCTAGTTAGGACTACCATTCTCCACAACCTGCAACATAATGACATTTGAACCAAACCTCCATCTAGTTACTTTGATTATGCTAACCAAATTTTTTAACCAAATAATTGAGCATGTGGTTTGACATATTTCTTTATCTGATATGTGGATATGTATGAAAATTCTCACAGATTAAGAACATTGATAAAACTTAATATTAAGTCACCTCTTCAATATAACAGAAGAGTTACCCCCTCACAATCCAGCTGACTAGTATAATAATGTTGTGCACCAATCCTGGCATCATGATGAACATATGGGGCCACATTTTAGTGCTGACTTCATGTTTTTTCTGTAGCCTACTGCTTAACAATATATCCTTGATTTCCTTAAAAAGAGGGTGGGTTAGAAATACTTTAACTGAATCCTGACCCCATGTGGCCACAGTACTGCAAAGTTGGCATTGGGGACTAATAGAAATGTGAGCATATTAGAGTTTGGACTTTCAGGAATTAAGTTTTCCATAGATGGATTGGATGAGGGGAGGAAATGAAGCCACTCAGCAGTGTGTGGCCATAGCTGAGTCCTGAGGCATTGCAATATTAGCACATTGCTTGTGCTAACACCCATCAAAACGAAAAGTAAACAGGTGAGCCAGGACATCATAAAGGAAAAGGAAACTTGGGTCAGTAACACAGAGGAAGGAATTATGATAGGCTCTAAAATATCCTTGATGACTGAAGATTAGTACCACAAAGTCTTGTTTTGGGAAAAGGTGAACCCAGTTTTGTTTTGGGTTTTTTTTTTTTTTTAAGATTTTATTTATTGTGTACCTGGGGGCTCAGTCAGTTAAGCATCTGCGTTTGGTTCAGGTCATGATCCTAGGGTCCTCGGATCGAGTCCCATGTCAGGTTCCCAGCTCAGTGGGGAGCCTGCTTCTCCCTCTGCCCCTCCTCCCCACTCAGGCTCTCTCTCCCTTTCAAATAAATAAAAATCTTAAAAAAAAAAAAAAAGATTTCATTTATTTTTAGAGGGAGAGAGAGAGTGGGGGGAGGAGCAGAGGGAGAGGGACAAGCAGACTGCAGAGTGCAGAGCTGGATGTGGGGCTCGATCCCACAACCCCAGATAATGACCTAAACTGAAATCAAGAATTGGTTGCCTGAGTACCCAAGTGCCCCAAGATGACTCCAGTTTTATGTCTGTTGAATTTGAGCTAGCTCTTTTATCTATACTTCAGACTTTTGGTCTGAAAGTATAGATAAGGAATAATCTGTAGAGGTTTTATTTACAGTTATTAATAGATGAGCTCCTTGAGAGATTAAGGAGCAGAAGAGCAAATGGCATTTACATTGCTGTTAGAACGAAAATGAAACCAAAGTTTCTTCACATTGGTTTTTTTAGAAATCCCTTTAAAGATCAGTATTTTTATTAACTGCTTTCTTGAAGCGTTATATTCAAGTGTTTCTTCTTTGCACCAAAAATTATTTAAAACAGGTGTCTGGATGCCTAGGTGGCTCAGTCAGTTAAGCTTCTGCCTTTGGCCCAGGTCATGATCCTAGCGTCCTGGGATGGAGCCCTGCATGGGGCTCCCTGCTCAGCCGGGAGTCCGCTTTACCCTCTGTCCCTTCCCACCATTCATGCACTCTCTCTTTCTCAAATAAATAAATAAATCTCAAAAAGAAAAAGCTGTCTTTTAAGATTTTTTTTTTAATTTTATTTTTAAGTAATCTCTACACCCAACATGGGGCTTGAACTCACAATCCCGAGATCAGGAGTCGCATGCTCCACCGACTGAGCCAGCCAGGCGCCCCTAAATTAGGTGTCTTGATACTTGTTTCTCCAGATTTTTTAATAGGTCTAATGTGTGACCATTGTAAAAATTTAAAGTATTAAAGACATAATTCTCAATTTGTGGACTTCTGTCAAATATATTTAAAATCTGATGTACTTGAAAAAATATAAAATCTATTCTTTTTATAGGGCATATTAGCCTTCGTTTTTATTTTTTTTAAAGATTTTATTTATTTATTTATTTGACAGAGAGAGACACAGCAAGAGTTGGGACACAAGCAGGGGGAGTGGGAGAGGGAGAAGCAGGCTTCCCACTGATCAAGGAGCCCAACGCGGGGCTCGATCCCAGGACCCTGGGATCATGACCTGAGCCACCCAGGCACCCCTAGCCTTCGTTTTTAAACAGGTTTATTTTCTTTTTTAAAAAAATTTATTTATTTATTTGACAGCGAGAGAGGGAACACAAGCAGGGTGAGTGGGAGAGGGAGAAGCAGGCTTCCCTCTGAGCAGGGAGCCTGATGAGGGGCTTGATGCGGGCCTCGATCCCAGGACCCCAGGGTCATGACCTGGGCCAAAGGCAGACGCTCAACCAACTGAGCCACCCAGGCACCTCTAAACAGGTTTATTTTCATTTAAAAGTTTTATGTAGCACTTTTCACAAAGTTTACAGGTGAACATGTAATTTTGAAGTTTTACATGACACTCATTCTTGGAAATGGCATGGTAAGTATTATACATCTTAATTTATATTTTTATTTTATAAAATATTAAATATTAAGCTATTTTGGGACACTGGATGACTCTGTCAGTTAAGCTTCTTGATTTCAGCTCAGGTCATGATCTCAGGGTTGTGGGATCGAGCCCCGTGTTTCTGCTAAAGATTCTCTCTCTCTCTCTCTCTCTCTCTCTCTACCCCTCTCCCCCCCGTTAAAAAAAATACTCGGCTATTTTATTTTCTGTGTGCAAATAGCTTTACATTCAATAAAAATTTTATTAAATAGTGGACTAAGTGTTCCATTTAATCTAGACCAGTGCCTAAGAAACTATACTATCCATTCTACCATTTTCTTAGTGTTAAGAACTCAGTATTCCTTTTGGTGGTCTGCAAAAGAAGTAAATAATATTTCCTCAATTTTTTCTGGCCACTTTTCTAAAAACACTTTTCTTTCTTCACTTTGTAACTTTGAGGATATTTTTGTTCCCACGTGTTTTTTTTGTTTTGTTTTGTTTTTTTAAAGGTTTTATTTATTTATTTGACAGAGAGAGACAGCGAGAGAGGGAACACAAGCAGGGGGAGTAGAGGAGGGAGAAGCAGGCTTCCCGCAGAGCAGGGAGCCCGACCGATGTAGGGCTCAATCCCAGGACCCTGGGATCATGACCTGAGCCGAAGGCAGGCGCCTAATATCTGAGTCACCCACATGGTTTTTTATTGGACCAACTAAACTACCTTTTTTTCTATTAATCAGGCCAGTTTTAACTTAATTTGGAGGAACCATTTAGGACAATCTGACTAAAAATGTTGACATTATTATGTATATAATATTTGCTTTAGGGGACACTGGGGCTACAAACAAGCACTTATCTCCCAGAATCTTTGAAATTGGGGTACATGCAGTATGAGGCCCATCTGACTGCTGATCTGGGAAACAGGCCATATGTTTTAAGAAGCATTGCGCAGGGTTGCCTGGCTGGCTCAGTCAGAGGAGCATGCGACTCTTGATCTCCAGGTTGTGAGTGGGAGCCCCATGTTCAGTATAGAGATTATTAAAAAAAGTAAATAATCTTTAAAAAAAATGCAATGGGCAGAGAAGACAGTGGCTTCTGGAATTACAACAGGAGCTGCTTTGAAATCAAGGTGTTGATGCAATTGTTTCATTTCTCAAGAAGGAACTACTAGTAGCTCCAGACTGAGTAGGAGCAGTGATTTCTTTATTTAATAATAATAGATACTGATTCTTCCAAGTAATAGCATGGGAAAACCTGCTAGTTAGTAAGTGAATAAAGCATGGTTTTGTTTGTTGGTATGTAACGAAATCTGGAAGTACAGAACAGATAGGGTAGATTGCGTGTCACTGGGGTGATTTCAGAGGAGTAGGACTTGAGTTGTATTCACTTGACAGAATCTGTAGAGTAAGTTTGGCATAGTCTCAGAGATGAAGCAGTGCCTGGAAGTCCTGAGAGAGGGGTGACCAGATGGTATGAGGTCACACTGACTAGCTCAGAAAGAGAATGTGTGTTAGGAAAACAGGGGAGTAAAGTAGATTAGAGACAGGGAGTATGCATTTTAGACAGCCGTGAAAGACAGGCAGAAGAGGCTGGATTTAAAGTCGCAGGGATGGGGCGCCTGGATGGCACAGTCAGTTAAGCATCTGCCTTCAGCTCAGGTCATGATCCTGGGATTGAGCCCCATGTCGGCTCCCTGCTCAGCGGAGAGCCTGCCTCTCCCTCTCTCTCTGCCCCTCACCCCGCTCGAGTCTGCTTCTCCCTCTGCTCCTTACTCCACTTGTGCTCTCTCTCAAATAAAGAAAATCTTTAGAAAAAAATAAAGTAGGGAGGCGACAGCCTCACTCAAGTTGGTAGAGTGTGCTTTTTGATCTCGGCGTTGTGAGTTCAAGCCCCACACTGGGTGTGGAGATTACTTAGAAAAATAAAATAAAATCTTTAAAAAATTATAGGGACTACATAGCTACCCTGTCTATGCTTAGGTCTTTCCCCTCTCCCCTGCCACCACAGCCAACACACTGACATACACACACCTGCAACCAAACGGTTAGAATTAATTTAACATCTGACCTACCTCTACCTCTGAAGCTAAGAAAATACCATATGTTAATTAATTGAATTTAAATAAAATAAAATTTTTTAAAAAATGTTCTTAATAGGATAGTTTGTAAAAGACCCAAAATGGAAACATCAAATGTCTGTCTGGAATGGATAAATAATAATTTAATCACCCAATAGAATATAGCATAACAAGGGTAATGAATGAACCACAATACAGGAAACAGCATAGATGATGCTCACAGATGTGATATTGAGAGAAAGAAACCGGACATGATGGAGTATGATTTCACTTCTGTAAAGTCAAAAACATACAAAACTAATCTGTGGTGTTAAAACTTGGAATGTTGAGTATCTCTCAGAGGGGAAGGCGGTGACTAGAAGGGGAACAAGGAAGCTTCTGGAGTTCTAGTGATGCCGTGTTTCTTTGCTGTGACATGGCCATATTCACTTTGCAAGATTCAGTAAGCAATACATTTAGGATCTGTGAACTTGGCTGTGTGTATTTTATACTTTTAAAAAATAGTCTTGCCATAGAATTTTAGTTGACCCCTGAACAAATCTGGGATTAGGAGAACCAGCCTTCCAAGTGGTTGAAAATCTGCATGTAACTTTTGACTCCCCAAAAACTTAACTCCTAATATAGCCTACAGTTGACTGGAAGCCTTACTGGTAACAGTCAACATATATTTTCTATGTTATATGTATTATATTCTGTACTCTTACAATAAAGTAAGCTACTGAAAAGAAAATTTTAACAGAATCTTAAGGAAGAGAAAATACATTTACAGTACTGTACTATAAAAAATAAAAATCCATGTATAAGTGGACCTGTGCAGATCAAACTCATGTTGTTCAAGAGTCAACTATATTATGAAAATTAAACAATTATGGAATCCTTAGAGATGCTCTTGATTTCCGCTCAGGTCCTGATCTCAGGGTCTTGATCTCAGGGTCGTGAGGTCCAGCCCTGTGGGGCTCTGTGCTCAGCAGGGCATCTGCTTGAGGTCCTCTTCCTCTGCCCCCACCACCCGCTTGTCTGCGTGCTCACTCACTCTCTCTCCCTCCCAAATAAATAAATATTAAAAAAAAAAAAGGCATTGAAAGCCCTTTAAATGCCACCTTTGGTAATGAAAATTGAGATCTGTGGCCCTCGTAAAAGTTTTAAGTACATCTAATAATTTTTATTGAAGAGCAAAGTGAAATTAAGTACCAGCTCACCTTGGTGTGAAAGGTTGAACTGTCAGCCCATTCTTAGTAAAACATGTACTCAGAGATTATTGCATATTCTCTTGTTTGACCACTTTCAAGAATTATTATCTAAATTTTTTGTTTGGAAACTACATTTATAGTTGTCATTTTGTCCTTTGCCACCATTATTTTTCAAGTTTTGCTTTCATTTTAGTCTGGAAGAACATTCTATTTCATGTTTATATATATGTGTGAATTTTTTTTAGGTGACTATGAAAGGCTTATATTTTCAAAAGAGTTCTACAGATGAAGAAATAACATTTATATTTCAAGAAAGGGTAAGAAAAATTGTTTAATTATTAAATGAAAAAGGTAGTTTATTTTCTATATATAATAGAACCAGTTTTAAATGACCTTTTATAAGTTATTTTGAGTGGAACCGAGTAAAAAATTACTTAAATGAAACTTACAAACTCCTTTAATCTTATGTGAAAATGGTGCTCCATATTATAGTATAACTATTTTTTAGAGTTGCTTCAGAAGAGTTTTTAGTTTCTCAGGGTGGTGGTATAAAGCATATTAGGAAAACAGAACAACCTTGATAGTCTTATAAGTTGCAAAATTATATTTTATTCAGAATACCACAATAAAGTGACTATTCAGAATACACAATAAAGTGAGTATTCAGATTGTAGCCATATTTCAGAAAATATTTCTCCCATGTTGTAAAATAAAAGTGGTAGAAAGGCATTGTTTTCCACACTAAATTCTGAGCTTTGCAAAATTACCTCATTTGCTAAACTCTAAATTGTCTCTTGTTTTTGCCCACTTTAAAACAGGTAGTAGAATTTTCATATACTGGTGATTGTTTGAAAGGTTTGTAGCAAGCCAAAATCATTCCACTGTCAACTTAGGGCCCAAAACTATGTGCTGTATTTATTTCATGGTAGTAATAAGAATTTCTGGGTCATGAACACAATCCAATTTTTCTGTTATCTTTTACTAACTCCAAAATTAGTTAAGTCAGGAATCAAAATCTCAGACAGCTTGTCTTCTACCATTGAGTCAGGATGAAGGTCTCAGAGGTTTGATTGGCTCTTAGGAAGAATCATTTACAGGTTCATACAATCATGAGTAAAATCTACACATTTATCAATAATATTGAAGATCTTCATAATATCACCAAATAACTATCAAATCTGAAACTTAAAAAGAGATACTCTCAGAGTATTGTATTCAAGTCAAATAAAACAGTGATCTCTTTGATAGGTTGTGGGAGGGGCTACAAAAGTAGCTATGCTTACCCAGCTTTTGATCTAATTTTTGGGCATATCACGAGTTGAGGGGAATATTTTAATTATTGGTACCAGGATATGGTTATTTGGCAGAAGTGATAATATATTTCATAAATAATACAGGTGGGTGACATTGAGTGCCTGAGTGTGAATGATTCTTTGCCTTTGAAGTATATCTAGCTGTGGAATAGTGGGGTAATTAAGATCCTTTAAGTTTGTATTTTGATGCCAAAATCCCTTGGTGCATGCTGAAATGTCTAAGACAGATGTTAAGTAAGGTAAGTTAAATAAAAGATACACAAGTAACACCAAGCAACTTCATCTATAGCATTAAGAAAATTGCAAAATCAGTGAAGGCTATCTGTCATGCGTATAAGGATATCCCTCTATGTGTGAAGATTTGATGCTTTGAGATTATTTAGATTGAAATAAAGTACAGTATTTGTTGCTCTCCTTTTTACCCTAAAAATTTACTACCTACACATATATCCATGTTGGTATCTATACATTTTTAAAATAACTATGGCTTTTTAAACATTTTACCCCCAAATTCCCCTTCCATTGTTTTTATTATATACTATGCGATAATTACTTGTGGCTTTTTCAGTTAAGTTAGCTATAAGATTTGGGGTCTGTTTCATTTTGTTCAATTATGTATGACATTTTTCGTAACAGAAAGGCATGTTCTCAAAGGAATGTGTTATTTGGTTCTAGGAAAATCTTCCTGTTATAGAGGATAACTATGTGAAAGTTCAAGTTAAAGCTTGTGCTCTGAGCCAGATAAATACAAAGGTATGATGCTTTTATTTTGACCAAAAGTCAAATGAGAGTTTCCTGGTATATTTAGTGTACAAATATATAATGATAACTGACTTCTGAGTGCCAAAAAATTAACACCCTTAGAAGACTAAAACAGCTAGGGAAAAAATGTAATGACAGTTTGTGTGTTTCTATATTAAATTATTATCTAACTGACGTCAGACATTTTATATTATTATAGGAAAATGTTTTATCAACTCCTTTACATTGTGAAAGGGTGAGAATTTATAATTACTAAGGCCTATTAGGGAAGAAATTACTTTTTTTTTTTAAGATTTTATTTATTTATTTGAGAGAGAGAGACAGAGAGCACAAGCAGGGAAGGGGCAGGAGAGGAAGAAGCAGATTCCCCACTAAGCAGGGAGCCTGACATGGGGCTCGATTCCAGGCCCTGGGATCATGACCTGAGCCAAAGGCAGATGCTTAACCAACTGAGCCACCCAGGCGCCCCAAGGAAGAAATTACTTTTATAAATATAGTAAAAATAAAACTACAAATCTAATCAGTGGTTTCTTAACTGTTCTGTAGATATTTCTCGTCTTTAGAAAGGGTTCATATTCTTCTTGTCATGTCTCTTTTTCTTTCTCTTGCTCATACTTACACATCCCCAACCTCATACCACCCCACAGTAATCGTCCTTTATTGACAGGAGGTACATGAAAAGTCTTCAAATAGTAAATAAAGTGTGGTTAAACGTGCCATGATAATTAAGCAGGTCCATTTACTCACTTTCATAAAGATTAATACTATAGTTTCATTGGACCCTTAACTTACTGGATTATACTGCCATCATAATTTCTAGGAATCTAAAAGTTTTCTACGATAATCACATTTAGGAAAATCACAGAACAAGGTCATAGGTTTCCACTGGACAACATGAGCATGACTTGCAAAGCAAATTAGTCAGATGCCTAGAAATCCGTTCACCAGAAGTGCTAGTACTTACTACTCCTTGTCTGCCAGGTTCTATGTTCAGACCATCCAAGGTGTTCTTTTTAAAACTATGAAAAATTCATTGAAATCCCCAGTCTCGGCAAATTATCTCCATGTCTAACAGAAAGAAATAGTAAATTAGAGTAAAATCAATTTAATGAAATATTGCCCACCAACATAGTAATGTAAGAAAATTCTGTGGTGGGTGAAGGACCCAGGATGCAATTATTTTGTTGTTGTTGTTGTTTTAAGATTTTATTTATTTATTTGACAGAGAGCAAGAGAGCACAAGCAGGGGGGAGGGGCAGAGGGAGGGGGGAAGCAGGCTCCCCACTGAGCAGAGAGCCCCTGAGATCATGAACCACAGGATGCAGTTGTGACATGATTAAAGCTCTGTAAAAGTCTGCATGAAAGAAATATTGTAGAACACCCAGTATTTCGATAAGCATGTCATAGGAACATCTTGGGAAAAGCATAAAGTTCCACACTGAAAAAGAGCCTTTTCTGGCAGTCAGCTATATCCAGGAGATCGGAAAATTTTTAAATAAAGGAAATACACAGAAGAATTATTTCAATTTATTTTTCTTGTCGTTCCTACAACCCTATATCTTTAAATATGCCTAGCATTTCCAGTATTATTATAAAAGCATAAATGGCAGGAACTTAAACTACAGGTTTATATACACTCTGCCACTTTAAAAGTCAAGTACCTAAATGGTTCAGAACCCAACAAAATACTTACTTCTTAAAAAAATAATTTATCCTTGGGCCACCTGGGCAGCACAGTCGGATGGGCGTCTGACTCGGTTTTAGCTCAGGTCATGATCTCAGGGTTGTGAGATCAAGCCCCACTTCGGGCTCCACACTAAGCACAGAGTCTGCTTGAGATTCTCTCCCTCTCCCTCTGCCCCCCCCAAAATAGATAAATCTTTAAAAAAATAATAACCTATTCTTAAAAAAAAGAAACTCCAATCTGAAATTATATGGCAGTTTCCCTTATGTTATATCCATCACTTTTTCCCACCTGCCCCTTACCTAAGACTTGTGAGAAACGCTCAGATGGTGTCCAAAGATGTTGGAATGGAGAACCTTTTGTTCTTACTGGCTACATCTCCTTTATTCAACAATGTCCTCTCCGAATTCCCTTTGCCCCACCAGAATGAAGTGACTGGTAAAAAGTATTTAGTCAACCAAGAACAGTTTTGGCCATAATTTCCCTTCATACTTGGCAAGTAAAAATGCTAAACAAAGGATGTTACTGGTGATTTGAATAATAATATCCATACATAAATTCTACAGATCAACTAATTACTTAGCAAGCTCTTGGTTTCCTACTATAGAGAGAAACTTATTTTGTGAAGTAATTTGCTTTGTCTTTATTATTTCCTATGGTAGAAACTTACTTTGTGAAGTTACTAACTACAAAAATTAAATCATATTTGCTTTTTCTGTGGTCTGATTTTTGCTCTTGCTTTCCTTATGTATGAGAAAAGGCCAGGATTTATTCTTAACAGTAAACAGTCTTTGTCATGATTTAGCTTTTGGCAGAAATGAAGATGGAGAAGGATTTCTTTCCTGTTGGGAGAGAAATTGCTGGAATTGTGTTAGATGGTAAGTTTATAGACGAAAATATCTGCACTTAATTTCAAAGAGGAATGAATTAAAAAAAATTTTTTTTTAATTAAAAAAGGAATGAATTAAATGGTAGCTAATTGGTTTACCAGTACATAAAATTATGTACATAATTATAAAGAAATGTTTCCCTTTTTTAATTAAAAAGAAAAGTGGAACTTAATTGGTATTTTTTAAATTTTTATTTATGTATTTTTAATTGGTGTTTTATAATTAAAAAAGCTTATTAGAGTTTAATAAATATTTGAGGATTATATATTTAAATCCATGAGTAATCATATTCAATGGAATGACCAATATTGTTCTTTTTATAATGTTTACAAACCATAAATTACTTGTATAGATTGGCTTTGGGCCAAAATTTATAATAGTAACTACATTCACATTCAGTTTTTTAAGTTTGCCTAAAATTGAGCATTTAAAAGCAGTCTGCTCATGCAAAAATGGGTTCTGGAGAGAAATAAGCAGGTAAGATTTTATGATTGCCTTAAATCAAAAAAAAATTTATGTTTTATTTAGTAAATAGTGGTCTTAACTTGCAAGACAGTAATCCTAAATATTTGAGATAATTTGTTTCTAAAAAGACCTACTTTTCATATTCATTGCTAATAGGTAGTTCACGATCAATCAGTACGTTTGCTCTTTCTGCATATGTGAATGAATGAGTATGTAATATGAGTTAGACTGAGTTTTACCTGTGATTTTAATCTGTAATATATTTGACTCTTAATTTCATTTCTTCTTCCTTCTGCTCAGACCGTAGGAAAATAAAAATAAGGATTCTAATCGCCAGAACATGATCATTGTCCTGTCATTTAATTCATTCATTCATTTATACCACATTTAGTGAGCACTTGCTAAGTGCTTGGAATATTAAATGAGACAGAGGCCCTGCCTTCAATGAATTTACTGTCTAGGGGAAAGACAGATACATCCACATGAGCAGATAATTATGAGAGCTCAGAAAAGATCTACCCAGCCCAGCCAGAAGAAACAGGAAAGACTTCTTGGGTACATTAACCAGACACTAAGGAGGAGAATCATACTCGGCACAGAGGATATCATGAACAAAGACAGAAGCAAGTAATAATGTGATATATTATAAGAATTACAGAGTTTGGTGTTGCCAGAGCAAAAGCAAAGTTCTGGGCAGGAGTCAGAGGCAAGATACTTGACAGCAGAGAAACATTTTGACAAGAAAATTCTCCTTTAAAAATAGCAGAATAAAAGAATAAACAAAATATTTTAATAATATGAACACTGATTCCTTACCTCCAGAATATGAGGCAGGAGGGTAGACAAGGGCCAGAGCCATAATGAGCCTCATATGTCATATTGGGTTTTAGGGAAGACTATTGGTGTGGCCATATGAAGGGTTCTTTTGAGGCTGTAGGCAAGAGGACTGGTTAGACTAACAGGCAAGAGATGACGAAGTCCATAACCTAGATAGTGATGACAGAGGTGTGTGTGAAGGAAATGCGGGGGAAGTAAAGTCAGTAGGACTGAATAATTAACGAACAGGAGAATAAAAGCAGGTTTAAGAGCCAGGAGTAATTTACCCGATTCTGGTTAAGATACGAATTGGTGCCACTATTTGAGAAGGGAAAAGGATCTGATTCGGAGGAAGATGGTGAGTTTAGATTTATACTTGTTGAGTTCAAGGTACTTAAGTGACATCTCACTGGAGATGTCTGTCAAGCAATTGTGTGAGTTTAAGCTCAAAGGTAAGAGAGTTCCTGCTAGAAATGTATATATTTGAGAGTTGTCCGCATGTCGTTTGTATTTGAAATCAGAGTTGATGAGCCCACTCAGGGAGAGAATAGAAATGGAGGAGGCCACTCTTTGGAGGACAACTGAAAGGAGTGTGAAGGAAGCCAACCGAAAAGGATCAGAATGATCCCAGGAAGACCGGGATCAACAGCTGAAGGGAAAGGGAAAAGTACAGTGCCTCAGAAGCCAGAAATATTGGGGGATGATGGCACAGGAGGGATCCAAAGAAAGAACAAACTGAAAAGATTTGAAAGTAGGAATATCAAACTTAGAGTTGCTTACGGAGTACCAACAAGCTCTGGAACCGTCTTGCCCATCACCAGCCAAAGAGGCCACTTCCAGATGCCCAGCTTCCTTCCTTCATTGTGTTACCTTAGTTTCATGGTTAACTAGGAATAATAATACCTACGTCATGGGCTAAATGTGATGAAGATCAAATGTGATACTGCAAGTAGGCATTCAACAATGTTTGGGTTTTTCCTTTCCTTTCTTCTTGTTACTCTTTGAACAAAAATATTCTAAAGAATTGGCTGATGGTAGAGGCTCTTTCTCTGTGTGTGCAGAGAAAATGTAACTATCATTTCTATCTAGTTCCAAGAAATTTCTTGACACCGGTCTGAATTTATTTCTAATAATCTCAAATCAAAGTAATTCTATGCATGACTCATACCAGAATCTGCCATTGTATGTCTGAGATCCTGTACCTAAAATAATGTTAGGAGATCGGGCTCACCACAGGAGGTGTGGAAAGCAGTGTAATCATCATAAGAGCTGCAGAGTGGATTATTTTCCTTTATTCCTTCATTCTTAGCTAAATAGACATACTCCTCTGTGGTGTCAACAGCCACATGGCCCAGATTTTCTGGAGAATTGTGTGCAGAATCCAGATTTGAAGTGTCCTACAGTCTTTATTATTGACCATCAAAACATCCTAGAAGTTCTTGGCCTTTTCTCTGAGTTAGTGACTTTTTTATAAACCCATGGATTTATTGTAATAGTTAAGTAAGGGTGGTATTTGATAACCTCACAATAAAAATTGTTAATTTTCTCCCCTCTTTAAGTTGGAAGCAAGGTATCATTCTTTCAACCAGATGATGAAGTCGTCGGTAAGTTATGATTTACAATCCTATTGCAAGTAATCTGTTTTACTGTCATCTCTTCTTTTTCTAAGACAACTATTAATGTTTATTATTGTATGCTTTGTATAGGATACATGTATCCTGATTTTTAAAATCTGCTCACAAATATCCACTGATGAAGAAAATTGGGAGTTTAATCTCAATAGCAGAATATTTAAAACTTTCATAGATAGAAGGATGACCATAGTTGTTACTGTGGTTGGTGCAGCCCTTTCCTGACAGGACCCCAGTCTCTGACTAGACTGAAGATTCTGGAAAACACAGTCGCAGGTCACCTGCTTGAAGACCGCTGACTGACTCGGCTATGTGGAGGCTCCGCTGTCTGTATCCAACTTGCATTTCACAGAGCTGTTCCCTCGCTACACTCATAAAACCAAAAGTTTACTGGAAACCCTTAGTTTATTGGTTATTTTAAAAATCCATAGTGAATACTATTCTGCAAATACATATATTTAAACTATTATATCCTAAACAGTCACAGAAACATAAAACATGACTTTAGTAGTAGTCTTGAAAATTACCATTTCTATATGGAAAATATTCATGGAAGATACTTAAATTTAGAAAATATTTAACTTTATGGAATGCTTGAAGTCATTAAGAACAGATTTACAAGAAGGTTTTCACCAGTTTTTTATGGGATTGCCTTTGACTCGTGTTTTTTTGGGAGAATTTATTATTTCTTTCTTTTTTATTCATCTAAGAAGTCAATGACACTGTGTTACTCAAGAGACCGAAAATAAAATCCGACTAGCATAGAGGAAAATGGGATTTTACTGGAAACATTTTATAGAACCAAACTGTGGGAAGGTAGCTGTGCATCAGAGACAATTTTACTGAGGAGCCCAGGTGTCCCCAAGACTCTGACTTGACTCTGTACATCAGACACCATCTTTACCATCACTGAGAAGTGACAGAAGAGGGAGGAAAAGAAATACAGTACGGGTGATAGAGCATTCATGACAGAAAACGAACAGTCCCCTTCCATACTTCTGAGGTCTCGCCCTTCCCCACGCTAGTAATTACTGGAATCCTCCTCAAAACTCTAGTGAACAAAATATAGACCAATACTTACCAGCATCTCATTAGGAATGAATTCATTATGGGATTGTTTCTCTTAAGTTTCTCCTGTTAATTTCCAGGAATTCTGCCCCTGGATTCTGAAGACCCTGGACTTTGTGAAGTTGTTAGAGTGCATGAGCATTACTTGGGTACGTGCCAGTCTTTTGCAGCTCGTGTAAGTCTTGCATCATTGATGTGTGTGGTGTTTAGTAACCGCGATGTTTTGGCTCTACCTTGTGTAATAAATAACTGTTGGCTGGTCACGTGAACACTGCTAGCTTATATTTAGTATCCATAAAATTAATATTCAGACCAAACAGCATATAGACCTTTAAGTTTCACTTATACTGCAGTGGTAAGAGGTTTAAAAGGTGGTTTCTTTCTTGGCTCAGAGATCATATCCCTGATAGAATTTTTTTTAAACTGAAGGATAGTTGGCATACGATGTTACATTAGTTTCAGGTGGAGAATTTTCTTTTTTACTTCTTATTCTTGGTTATTCCTTGAAACTAAAAATATAAAATCTAGATAATATGTGTAGAGTCTGAGACAGGAAAGAATCAAGAACACTTGTCTTTGGTTTCTATTGCTAATATATTTTGACCAGTTTAGTTTAACTGAAATATTAATTTTTAATTTTTCCTACAGTAATTCTTGACTATTTAAAATAAAATAAACACACACACACACTTTAGGAAACCATAGTGAAAAGATGCTGTATCTCCTTAGTAATCAGGGAAAGGCAAATTAAAACCACTTCAGGATACTGTTAAGCATCCACATGACTGACAAAATTTTATAAAGTCTAACCATTCCAAGTGTTGGCAAGGATGTGAAGCAATGGAACCTTTTATGCACCAGGAGTGTAAATTGATACAAATGCTTTAGAAAAGGGGGCACCTGGTTGGCTCACCCTGTACAGCATTTGACTCTTGATCTCAAGATTATAAATTCAAGCCCCAGGTTGGGTGTAGAGATTACTTAAAGATAAATAAATAGGGGCGCCTGGGTGGTTCATTCATTAAGCGTCTGCCTTCAGCTCAGGTCATGATCCCAGGGTCCTGGGGTTGAACCCCGCATCAGGCTCCCTGCTCAGCAGGAAGCCTGCTTCTCCCTCTCCCACTCCCCCTGCTTGTGTTCCCTCTCTTGCTGTGTCTCTTTCTGTCAAATAAGTAAATAAATCTTTAAAAAAAAAATAAAATCTTAAAAAAATAAAAAGATAATTTAGCATTATCTAAATAAAGGTAATGATGTATATACCCTAGACCTAATAATTCTACTGGTAGTTTTGTACTTCCCATAAACTCAATGTGGACCAGTAGATAAGCACAAGAGTTCCTAATACCATGGTTTATAACTGTGGAATAATAATGGAAACAACCTAAATAAATGTTCTTCACCAGGAAAATGGATAACTAAAGACATTCCTAGAGTGTAATTCAACTGGCAGTGAAAATCAATAAATAACAGCCAAACATATCAAGATGTACGAATTTCATAAACTATTGAGTAAAGAAAGCAAGCTGCAGAAATATACAATGTGATACCATGTATTTTTATAAAGTTCAAAAACATACAAAATTAAGCCTATCTTATTTAAGGATATAAAGAAAACAGGGATGAAAAGTCAGGTGTAGGCTTACCTTTGTTGGGCAGAAGAAGAGGATGTGATCAGAGTGGATCCACAGGACTCTGGTGGTGCTACTAGTCAGCTGTTTCTTATGCTAGGATTTATGTTATTCTTCCGACCTTATCAATAGGTCAACAGGTACTCTTTTGTATTCTTGAACTATTTCATTAAAATTTTTCCTGAGGGGTGCCTGGGTGACTCAGTCATTAAACGTCTGCCTCTTGCTCAGTTCATGATCCCAGGCTCCTGGGATGAGCCCCGCATCGGGTTCCTTGCTCAGCAGGAAGCCTGCTTCTCCCTCTCCCGCTCCCCCTGCTTATGTCCCCTCTCTCGCTGTGTCTTTCTCTGTCAAATAAATAAAATCTTTAATAAAATAAAATAAAATTTTTCCTGAGTTTATTCTTAAATGATACAATCCGTAATCAGACTTTGTGGTAACAGAAAGCCAAATTGGATTTTGGACTATTAAAAATAGTTAAGTTATACATTTGAGTCTATACAGTAATTTGAACTAGGCTAGCAAATCTGTGGCATTTTTTTCTAAAATTGCAAACTGTAAATAGTTTTATTTAACTTAATGACTATGTCTAATATTCCCAAGTAATACTATATTATTTTATTAAAAATTAATTTCAGGGGCGTCTGGCTGGCTCAGTCGGTAGAGCATGCAACTCTTGATCTTGGGGTAATGAGTTTGAGGCCCATGTTGGGGATAGAGTTTACTTAAAATTGATTTCAAAAGGCATTTTTCTGGAAATCTGAGGCCTGTGTATATTAAACCTAGATATGGAGCCAAGTCTGTGTCTTCCTTTGAAAGATAAAGGTCATTTTCAAATACCATGCTATGAAAGTCTCTTATCCATAGCTATTTTGATATTATACAATTTGAAAATTGAGGACCACCACTGGCTTTTTTACACGCAACTATACTATTTTTGACCCCAAAATTTCCTTGAGTCTTATTTCACCTATTCTTTTGAGAACCTTACAACTATGGAGTCAACTGAAACCTTTCATTTGGATTCCCAGGCCTGAGTTTTGACTAAGTCCCCTAAACTAAATTGTTGTAGAAAGTTAACTATTGAAAAAACAATAAAAACAACAAAACAACAAAAAAAGGCCCATTCTTCTTTTCTCTCTTTTTTGTCTCCAAGATTTGGCATGATTTATACATATTTCCATCGTGTATTTATACTTATACACATTTATTTAATAAAATAAATATCTCAGCTTCATTGAGATATAATTTACATACCACACAACTCACCTTTGTAAACCACACAGTTCAGTCAGTTTTAGTATATTCACAAAGTTGATTGACCCTTATCACTAATTTTAGAACATTTCATCACTCCAAAAAGAACCTCCATTCCCACTGACAATTATTCTCCATTTTCCCTCCCAGCTTCTCAAAATGATTATACTTTCTATTGATTTGCTTATTCTGGATATTTCATATACATTAATCTTGTAATATGTGGTCTTTTGTAATTGTCTTAGTTCATTTAGGTCATGTTTTCAAAGTTCATGCATTGTGTAGCATCTATCTATATTTCATTCCTTTCAATGGTTGAATAATACTCTATTGTATGAGCATACCACATTTTGTTTATCCATTCCTCTATGATTAAATAGCAAGGTTGTTTCCACTTTTTTTGGCTATTATGAATAATGCTAATCTGAACATTTGTGTATAAATTTTTGTGTGGATATGTTTTATTTCTCTTGGGTATATACCTAGGAATAGAATTATTGAATCATATAATAACTACATTTAATATTTTGAGAACCTGACAAACCATTTTCAAAATGGCTGCAACATTTTATAATTCCACTAACAATGAATGAGGGTCCCAATTGCTCCTCATCCTCACTACCACTTGTTATTTTCTGCCTTTTTAATTTTAAGCATCCTAGAAGTGATATCGTGTTGTGGTTTTGATTTGTATTTCCCTAATGACTGATGATGTTGAAAATTTTTCATACTTATTGGACATTTGAATATCTTCTTTGGAGAAATTTCTGTTCAGATCCTGTGCCCGGTTTTTAAATTGGGTTGTCTTTTTTATTGTAAATTGTAAGAGTTCCTTATATATTCTAGATAGAAGTTGCTTGTCAGATATAATGACTGTAAATATTTTCTCTCATTCGGGCGCCTGGGTGGCTCAGTTGGTTAAGCGACTGCCTTCGGCTCAGGTCATGATCCTGGAGTCCCGGGATCGAGTCCCACATCGGGCTTCCTGCTCAGCAGGGAGTCTGCTTCTCCCTCTGACCCTCTTTCCCTCTCGTGCTTTCTATCTCTCATTCTCTCTCTCTCAAATAAATAAATAAAATCTTTAAAAAAAAAAAAATATTTTCTCTCATTCTAAAGTTTGCCATTTCATTTTCTTATGGTGTCCTTTAAAGCACAGTTTTTAAAATATTGATGGACTCCAGGTTATTCATATTTTCTTTTGCCCGTTGTGCTTTTAGTATTATTTCTAAGAACCCATTGCCTAAGTTTCCAAATATTTACATCTATGATTTCTTCTAAGAATTTTATAGATTTAGCTCTTACATTTACTTCTGTGATCCATTTTGAGTTAATTTTTGTATATGGTATGAAATAAAGGTCCAACTTTGTTCTTTTTTTGCATGTAGATATCTAGTGTCCCAGAAACATTTGTTGAAGACTCTTCTATACCCACTGAATTGTCTTGACACTCTTGTTCAAAATCACTGACCAGAGACGCCCGGGTGGCTCAGTTGGTTAAGCAGCTGCCTCCAGCTCAGGTCATGATCCCAGGGTCCTGGGATCGAGCCCCGCATTGGGCTCCCTGCTCAGCGAGAGCCTGCTTCTCCCTCCCTCTGCCTGCTTGTGCTCTCTGTCTCTCTATCAAATAAATAAATAAAATCTTAAAAACAAAAAAAACAAAATCAACTGACCATAGATGTATAGATTTACTTTTGGACTCAATCCTATTCGACTGATCTGTATATCTATTCTTATGCCAGTCAAAATGGCCTTGATTACGGTAGCTTTGGAATAAGGTTTTTTTTCTTTTTTTTTTAATTTAAATTCAATTAATTAACATATGATTATTATTAGTTTCAGAGGAAGTGTTCAGTGATTCATCAGTCTTATATAACACCCAGTGCTCATTACATCACATGCCCTCCTTAATGCCCATCACCCGGTTACCCTAGGTCCCCTCCTCTCCCTGCCAGCGACCCTCAGTTTGTTTCCTATAATTAAGAGTCTCTTACGGTTTGTCTCCTTCTCTGATTTCGTCTTGTTTTATTTTTCCCTCCCTTCCCCTATGATCCTATTTTGTTTCTTAAATTCCACATATGAGTGAGATCACATGATAATTGTCTTTCCCTGATTGACTTATTTTGCTTAGCATAATACCCTCTAGTTCCATCCATATCATTGAAAATGGCAAAATTTCTTTTTTTTGATGGCTGAATAGTATTCCATTGTGTATATATATACCACATCTTCTTTATCCATTCATCTGTCAGTGGACATCTGGGCTCTTTCTATAGTTTGGCTATTGTAGACATTGCTGCTGTAAACATTGGGGTACAGGTACCACTTTGGGATCACTACATTTGTATCTTTGGGGTATATACCTATAAAGAACTTATCAAACTCAACACCCAAAGAACAAATAATCCCATCAAGAAATGGGCAGAAGACATGAACAGACATTTCTCCAGAGAAGACATACAAATGGCCAACAGACACATGAGAAAATACTCAACATCACTCGGCATCAGAGAAATACAAATCAAAACCACACTGAGATACCACGTCGCACCAGTCAGAATGGCTAAAATTAACAAGTCAGGAAATGACAGATGTTGGCAAAGATGTAGAGAAAGGGAACCTTCTTACATTGTTGGTGGGAATGCAAGCTGGTACAGCCACTCTGGAAAACATGGCGATTCCTCAAAATGTTGAAAATAGGGGCCCCTGTTTTCACCTACGTGGCTCACCTGGTGGCTAAGCTGGCTAAGCGTCTGCCTTCTGCTCAGGTCATGATCTCAGAGTCCTGGGACTGAGCCCTGTGTTGGGCTCCCTGCTCAGTGGCGAGCCTGCTTCTCCCTCTCCCTCTGCCCCTCCCCCCGCCCACTTGTGCTCTCTGTCTCTCAAATAAATAAAATCTTAAAAAAAAAAAAAGTTGAAAATAGAGCTACCCTACAACCCAGCAAAAAAGACCCATTCTTTTAGGTGTTACTGAATACTGGAGATTTATAAGTTGGACCAGGAGAAAAGCAAATTGGAACATCAGTTTCCTAGCTATAAAGGTTAAATTAAGACAAGCAAACCACACAAATGACCTTTTATTTTCCTACAAATCAGGAGGATTATAGTCCAAAATCCATTAACATATATAAAGAAAATAATTCCAGATATTCCTTGAGAAAAAAAAATACAGTAAAATGTTTCTTTAGAAGAGGAACTTTAAGAATGGCCACTTAACTGTGACCACTTGCCTTTGGGCAAGACAGTGGGCACATTCAAACTAGATAGCCTCTGTTGCAGCTCCAACATTTTGTAAAAGAGGAAATGATTTCAGTATGTTCCCTGAAGATTTGCAGAAGGAAATAATTCAGTTTAGCACAACTATATTTTAGTTTATTTAATTTATTAATTCTTTAGTGATTTTTTTAAATGAAAGTTGAACACTCAGTCATCTTCAGGTAAGTCTCTTCTTTTACCAAACCAAAGAATTAGGTTCCAGACAATTTCCCCAAATGTCTTATTAATCCTGCTACAGTATATTATAGATAAAGTTAAGAAGTTGAGTAAATTGGTTCTTTTGTGCTTTCAGTTCTTAAGCCATTTACGTCAAACATAAAAATAACTTTTTCATTCAAAATTTCATACAAATTTCAGCATTATTTTTTCAAATCTAAGGTAGAAAGAATTAAAATTCTAATTCTTGGGTTTGATATGCTGTTATTGTGATCCCTACCGGCCCTTTTATTTATATTTTTAGTTTTTTATAACATAATAAACAGTTGTTGACCACCTAACACAAAAGCAGGGATCTCAACATTAAACCACATGTTACCATGCAATGTTAGAGCCTTTGATATCTAAATGTAGTTTTACTACTTTTAGCTTTTTTTAAAGGACTACATGTTTGGTTTTTTCTTTTCTTTTCTTTCTTTTTAAGATTTATTTATTTATTTTAGAGACCGGGGAGGGGCAGAGGGAACAAGAAAATCCGAAGCAGAATCTGCTGAGCATGGAGCCAGATGCAGGGCTCGATCTCATGACCCCAAGATCACCACCTGAGCCCCAAGAGTTGGACACTTAACCAACTGTACCACCTGGGCACCCCTACATGTATGATTTCTTAATGAAGGTATAGGTAGTCCCAGTTCCGCCAAAATATAAGTAAACTGTAGGTAACTTGAGTGTGCACTGCTAGAGTAGAGGTGCTTTAGAATCAGACATTCAAATTTATTAGCTATGTGACCCCAGACAAATGAATTACACTGAGCCACATTTTATAATCAAGAAAATTGGGAGAAGAGGTATCTTAAAGAATTTGGTAAGGAATAAAGTACCATGTGTGAGTGATCACCTCGTGCTCTATTTTAATGCCTTGCTTGTCTGAACATTTTCAGCATCTGTGCATGGGTGCTCTGTCCCCCTCTAGATGGCACTAGGTAGCTGGTATGTGCAACCACGTGTGCTGCACCGTTCTCAACTTCAGAGGGAAAATATTTGAAAGAGCTGGTCAAGACTACGAAAGTGTTATAAAGTTGATTTTAGGTAAAACGAGAAAGGATTGCTTTTACTGGGAAAACAATCACATTTGGTGTACAAAATCTAAAAATTAAAGAATTAGATGTATTAAGGAATAGCTTCGTGGTCAGATAGTGCTCTTTAAGCTATATTAGGAGTTTGCATTTTGTTTCAAGTGCAGTGGAAAGCCATTGATGAACTGAGCCAACATCAAGGGTCAGTCGACTGGGACACCCAGGCGCCCTGCCATTGAACCTTAAACAGAGAAGTGTTAGCATGTTATATATGTTTTTAAAGATCATTCTGGGGGCGCTTGGGTGGCTCAGTTGATTAAATGTCCGACTTTTGATCTCAACTCAGGTCTCGATCTCAGGTACGTTAAGTTCAAACCCCGCATTGGGCTCCGTCCTGGCCATGGCACTTACTTAAAGAAAGATCATTCCAAGACTTCCATTTTCAAAAAACACCATTAGAGAGATTGAAAAGAGATGACATAAAGTTGAAAATAATATATATAACACATAAACAAGTAATTCATCTAGAAAAAATATATATATATATATATTTTTAAGGTTTTTTATTTATTTGACAGAGAAAGACACAGCCAGAGAGGGAGCACAAGCAGGGGGAGTAGGAGAGGGAGAAGCAGGCTTCCCGCGGAGCAGGGAACCCGATGTGGGGCTTGATCCCAGGACCCTGGGACCATGACCTGAGCCGAAGGCAGACGCTTAACGACTGAGCCACCCAGGCGCCAATTCCTATAAATCAGTTAAGAAAAAGACAACAGAAAAATTGATAAAGACTTGAACATTCATTTGACAAAAGGAATTCCAGATGGCCAGCAAACACAGAAAGGTGCTCAACATTAGCAGTCATGAGGGAAAAGCAAGTTAAAATCATAGTAAGAAACCATTACACACCCAAATGATTGATAAGAATGTATAATCATGCCAGGGGTTGACAAGGATGTTCATAGTAAAAGGAGCTCTGTTACACAGCTATGGGAGAGTGAATTCAGACAGCCACTTCGGGAACATGTAAAGTCAAAGGTTGTATACCTGCGACCTGGGATTTCCATTCAAGAGTACTGTCCTAGAGAAAACCTATGTGACAGCATAACACCACCTTTTATGTGAGAGCATTTTTAGCAGCATTGTTTATAACTGTCACAAACTGAACACAACACCCATCCTCCTCGACTGGAGAGTGCATCACCAAATGAAAGTGTTCTCACATAGTGGAATGCCATGAAACACCCGAAAAAGGAAAGCACTACAGTCATGTTTCCAAAAATGAGTGTGTCTTAAAAACAATGTTGAAGGAAAATAAGCAAGATAGAAAAGAGTGCATATGGTGTGACTCCATTTAGGTAAAGTTCCAAAACAGGCAAAACTCAATTACATTGTTTAGGACTGCATCCGTGGGTCATAAACGATGAAGATGAACAGGAATTGGAAGTCAGCCTGGTGGCGACCTCTGGTGGCAGAGACGAGGCTGTGGGGATGTGGGCTGTGTGCTCTGTCTTGAATGGGATGGGGATTACTTGTCTATTTGCTTTGTATTTATCCACCCATCTGTACTTATGTTCCGTGTACTTTTCTGCATGTGTTTTATTTCACAGTATAATGTTTTAAAAAATGCACACACAGCCGGCTCCTGTGCTGAGGGTGCATTTTGTGTGGGCAAGAATGGAACTAGGGAAACCAAAATATAGGCGAAAGATGTAATAGGAGTAGTGGCTTGGACCAGGGCCACGGTGGGAGCAGAGACGGTGAGAGAGACAGATCCAGGAGGCAGGACTAACAGGACTTGCTAATCGGTTGCTCCCTCTTGTTCTTTGTGACAGTTCACAAACCAGAAAAAGTTACATGGACCGAAGCCGCTGGAACCATTCGGGATGGAGTACGAGCCTATACAGCTCTGCATTATCTTTCTCATCTCTCTCCTGGAAAATCAGTCCTGATCATGGATGGAGCAAGTGTAGGTGCTAATAGTTCTGCTAAGACACAGATCAAAATCCAGTAAACTTCAGAAATAGGCCATCCATTTGCTAATAGAATTCTTTACCAATAGCTTGTTCACTACCCATTTTGTTAAAATATAAAATGGGCAGCTTTTATTAATAGGAGATAAAAATTAGACTTAAGTGTGTTTAGTTTCTATTACTTTGAATCTGCTAGTACATTAAAAAAGCAGACAAGCCATGTTTTTATGCCTGATACACAAAGCCTGAAATAGCTCATGAAATCTTTGAGGCTATGCCCCAAAATTCCCTACCAATTTTGTGTATCCCTCACACTTACACCTACATTGATAAGATGTACATTTATAGACAGGTCACATAAGATAAAAAATATGCTGTTGTCAACACATTGCATGTATCAGCAAAAAAATAGTTCAAGGCACTAAAAATATGTAAAAATAGATTATAATCTAAAAATGTTAAAAAACTTGGGGTGAATTTTTGTACCTTTATTTTCTATCTGGCTGTTGATGAAAATGCTTTTATCCCCTGTTTTGCTTTGCAAAAAAGGCAGAACTGTCTTTGGCATTGGTTTCAACCTAATATCCAGCATCACGATAGAAATGTTTCCCAAACTTACCCCTCGGGTCAGCAGAAGGATGGAGCTTTTGAGAGTGCTTTGATCTTTAAAAAGAGATAGCTAGACTCATACATGTACGTGAAATTAGCTTAGAACATCATGCTGACAAGGCCCTTAAAAGCCCATTTTTCTCTTACTGAGGCCATGTTTCTGAATGTAGCCCTCCATCTTGAAATTATGTGCAATGGTCAGACTGGGTGGGAGCATGTGGCACACACACTCCTTTTCTGCCACCCCTTCTGAAGAAGAAAGTCAGTCAAATGTCTCAACCTTGTCCATATTTTTTTTTCTTTTTCTATCAGATAATATTTAAAAATATGCTAAAGTAGCGCTAAACTATGACACTTTATTAAATAGCCTGTAAAGCAAGTTAGATATGGCCTCTGCCTTATATCTGTGAACCCACTGTGTATTTTTTTCTACACAGGCACTTGGTATGATAGCTATTCAGTTAGCACACCACAGAGGAGCCAAAGTGATTTCAACAGCAGGCAGCCTTGAAGACAAGCAATGCCTCGAAAGACTTAGGCCTTCTATAGGTGGGTAATACTACTCAACACAGACTTTACAACAGAAAATTTTGAAGAGATTTCACCTTAAAGACTATACTAGTAAAACAAAGTGCAAAATCCCAAATGAAAGTCACTGTTAAAATGCACTTAGTATCCGTGCTAAGTCCAAGTTTACCTAAGTGATAGTTTTAATTTTTATTCTTTTTAAACCCACATCTCTCAATGTTTTTTCTTTTTTGCCCCACTGTCATCAACTTACCCAGGTTTGAATTAGCTCCACTTTGACATAGTTTAACAATACCTGATGCCTCTTTGGTTTTATTCAATAAATCAGTATATGTTTGCATCACTCTGTAGGTCTCTCAACATCTTTTATTCAGTGATACACCTCTAAAGTTGTCTGTTTTCTGTGATATGCTAGGAAGGAGGATGATCCACCTAAAAAACACAGGTCAGATATAGTTTATGATGAGCAGGATATGGTGGAGACTGGGGAGCTCTTGAAAAGATTGAACCTAAGGACCTAAATGTGAGACCTGAAGCTATAAAAATCCTAGAAGAGAGCATAGGCAGTAATTTCTCTGACATCAGCTCTAGCAACTTTTTCTAGGTGTGTCTCCTGAGGCAAGGGAAATAAAAGCAAAAATAAACTATTGGGACTACATTAAAATAAGTTCCTGCACAGCGAAGGAGACAATCAACAAAACTAAAAGACAACCTACTAAATAAGAGAAGATACTTGCAAATGACATCTCTGATAAAGGGTTAGTATCCAGAATACATAAAGAACACTCAGAAAACAAATAATCCAACTAAAAATGGGTAGAAGACATGAACAGGTATTTCTCCAAAGAAGAAATATAGATGGCCAACAGACACATGAAAAGATGCTTGACATCACTCATCATCAGGGAAATGCAAATCAAAACTACAGTGAGATATCCTCTCACACCTGTCATATGGCTAAAATAAAAAACACAAGAAGCAACAAGTGTTGGAGAGGATGTGGAGAAATAGGAACCCTCATACACTATTGGTGGGAATGCAGAGTGGTGCAGCCATGTGGAAAACAGTATGAAGATTCCTCAAAAAGTTAAAAATGGAACTACCCTATGATTGAGTAATCATACTACTGGGTATTTCCCAAAAAATATAAAACATTAATTCAGAGGAATACACGCACCCCTTTGTTTATTGCAGCATTAATATTTACAATAGCCAAGTAACAGAAGGAGCCCAAATGTCCATCAGCTGATGAATGGATAAAGAAGATGTGGTACATATATACAATGGAGTATTATTCAACCATAAAAAAGAATGAAATCTTGCCATTTGCAACAACATGGACGGAGCTAGAAAGCATAAAGCTAAGCAAAATAAGCTAGTCAGAGAAAGAAATACCACATGGTTCCACTCATGGAATTTAAGAAACAAAAATGCACAAAGGAAAAAAAAAGACAAACCAAGAAACAGACTCTTTTTAAAGATTTTATTTATTTCACAGAGAGAGACACAGCAAGAGAGGGAACACAAGCAGGGGGAGTGGGAGAGGGAGAAGCGGGGAGCCCGATGCGGGGCTCGATCCCAGGACCCTGGGACCATGACCTGAGCCGAAGGCAGACGCTTAACGACTGAGCCACCCAGGCGCCCCAAGAAACAGACTCTTAACTGTAGAGAACAAACTGATGGTCACCAGGGGGGTGGGGGAAATAGGTGGGTATAACACTATGTTAACTATACTGGAATTTTTTTTTAATTAATAAATGCACAACAAAAAATGAGAAGATTGAACCTATCTGACCAACAACACAATGGAAAGGAAAAAGAAAACAGACTGAAAAAAATGACCAAGAAGAGGAGAAAGAGGAATGGAGAAACTAACAGATGAAGAGACAAGAGGCTGTGCCATAGTGTAGGTGAGGGGTGGGCAGGAAGGGGAGGCAGGTTGATTGAGTGTTAGTATGAATGATCTATCCTGAAGTCCTCAGCGATCCTGTGTCAGCGAACCATGGGAGCAGTATCTAGGGGATGTAACCAGCTTGTCCAAGGAGCTACAAGGAGATTGGGGTGGGATTTGAACCCAGGCCTGCCTAACATTAAAGCCCCTCTTACATCCATTGTTACCTTATGCCTCTGGCAGAGATAACCAAAACACAAAAGAAAGGTTAAGGCAGGGACTGGAGAAAGGAAAAAAAGGAAGAGATTGGAAATGGAATGGAGGAGGGTTGGAAAGCATGAACAGTACTGTTGAAGGAAGAGGTTTCTTAATGGTTAACCCTGCCCTTCCGAGGTGCCTCAGTCCCCTTTCCCTTGTGTCCTCCCTACTCCCACCCCTGACCCCATCTTAGACCACGGTCGTTCTACACCACCAATCGGAGCTGTGCTGAGAGGAATTCTCTTTTAGAAGAAGATACTAAAGCTACGAAAATGAATTATAAACATGAGTCTTCATTTGAAGACTGTCATTTGACAGTTCAAATGCTGAGATTTTTTTTTTAATCTCATTGGCTTGTTCTATTGAGATAACACTCTAAAAGTAGTTTAGTTTTCACTAACTGCTCAAAATAATCATGTTTTTTTCCTTAACCTTCAGGACTTTTCTTCATTTGGGGGAGCAAGTGGGGAAGGGAGCCAGGGGGATTTCTATGACTGAAGAAGGATAAAACAGTCTCTAATAGAGAAGTATCATATCGAACAAATACATTTTTTACGTTTTAGCTCTAAACTCTATTAAATCTAAACATACTTAAGAATTTTCTTAATCTTTCAGTTTATGCCTTAATATATGTGTATCTCTGTAGTTCACAGATTCTCTGTTCTGACTATATATCTTTTACTGTTGGGAAACAGTCCTCTTTTTTAGTAGACGAACCTTGGAACGCATCATCTGCAAAATGTTTAATATTTTTATTTTATTGAATATACCAGTCCCTTCCTTTAAATTGATCCTTACCTACTATTGGGTTAGAAGAGAAAAAGTAAAATTTGGATCCAGTAATTGTTTGAACCACTCCATACGTTTCAGGGAACAGATATTTGTTTGCTTTTCTTTTTCTTTTTCTCTGATTTGTTTGTGTTGATTGCATAGAGAACTATACAATTGCCTGACTTCTGTCCTTTGCAGCCCGAGTCATCGATGTATCTAATGGGAAAGCCCATGTTGCTGAAAGCTGTTTAGAAGAAACAGGAGGCCTGGGAGTAGATATTGTCCTAGATGCTGGAGGTGGGTACTTTACTAGATCAGTAGTATGTGTCATTTTTGTAGTGTGATGGGTGCAGTGTGTATGTATATATAAAACCAGGTAATAATTATTACATACTTAATAAATTGATGTCATGTTTTGTTTTTAACTTTTCTCTTTAAACTGGAGCTTCCTGAATCCCATTGTAAACACTGTCTGGAAGAGAGAGCATGCTTGCCTTTAAGATACAGGCATTGGAGTTTAAGTGTTTCTACACAAATGAACAAACATCATCTTCTCAGTTGGTTCCCAGATAATACACATTCGTTCAGCTCTCAGCCAGATGCTTAGTTCTGCCATGTCTGGCTGCCCTCTATTGGATGGCTGACTTCTGCAATCTCTATTTGGAAAAAGCACAGAATTTTGTTCCATTTTTACCTTCCTTGACCTTTTGTTATTTAACCAGTATCTATTTAACACCTAATCTGTACCCCACTAGATAGTGCCATTGCACAGAAAGCACAGGATTCACAAGCCTACAAAGGGATTCTATTCGTACTTTGTTAAGAAATATCTTCTTATTTCTTATGGGAATCTTCTTATGGGAATCATTCCTATGAATGATGCTGTGACCATCTTAATGTGTTTCTTTTTAACCAGTATTTTCAGGGCTTGAAATGAACTCAGAAGATCACTTCTTGGCCTTTTGGCTAAGATCAACTATGAAAATTAACAGAAAAATCTTTCAGTGGAAGTGAATGTGTATTTCATTAACTTTTCAAATGTACATTTCAATAATTATGTCAGTGTATGACTATCTTGAGTCTATGAGTTCCTTAATCAGAAGTCAACTTTTCCCAAAGAATTAAGCTATCAATATCATGATTAAAACTATCAATCTTAGTTATGTGTTAGGTTACCTTGCCTGGTTTTCAAATGAAAATAAACTTTTTGTTATTACACTTACAATTGAATCTACAGTAAATTTTATGACCAGTTTTAACGCAAAAAGTGTATTTTAAGGTGTCTGAATACATTGTGTGTTATTTTTTCTAAGAAAAATGCTTCCTCATTCCTACTTAAAAAGTAAAGACTAGTTTGAAGAATAAATTTTTGCCAGATTACTATAAAATATATTTCTTGTCTCTCTCTCTCTCTCTTTTTAAACTATTCCCTTGTAAGTGAGATTATATAGTAAAGATGACGAACCAGCTGTAAAATTACAACTACTACCACATAAACATGACATCATCACACTTCTTGGTGTTGGAGGCCATTGGGTAACAACAGAAGAAAACCTGCAGGTATTATCAGAAACAATAAAACATTACTGTTACACCGAAAGGATGTATTTAACAAAGAATAATGCCTAAGTCTTTGAGGCAAGATGTGAGGAAATTATAAATTCTGAATTATACCTGTTCCTAAAGAAATGTAGCTTTCTTTTTTAGTTTAGATACATGTTGGCCAAAATGTAGAAATAGTGCCTAATAGAGGAGTTCATGGAACTTTTATTTAGTGGTTTGGAAGAAGTGACTTCTGAATTTTTTAGTAGTATTTCCAATAAGATTTTTTTTTCTTGTTGTTGACATATTGTTGATATATACTTAGCAAAATATTTCTGTACAAAATTATGACAATTTCCCATTCACATTGGAATTTACTACAAATGTGTGTATATACATTGTCTCCCAAAGTTAGTTTCTCAACAGTATTCAAATTTTCTTATCATGGTTGATATGCAAATACCATAATCCTCATATATCAATAATCTTCACTAATTTTCTGACATCCTCATGAAGATAACTGATAAGTAGCAGCCAGAAATCTCACTCACACACACGCACGCACTCACGCACACACATATACACACACGTGCGTGCACACAGGCTACCACTCCATCACCTCTGCATAGGCCTTCCATCTGACCTTGCCGTTTTGTCATTTTGGACAATGAATTAGAAGAGAAAACATTAACAGTTTACATATTGTTATTAAAGTTTGTATACTGTTTATTTGTGATTTGGGTATTTAATTTGCATAGAAGTTTTTCTGGCTCAGGATTACCAGTCGTCTGTCTACTATTAAACTCACAGTCATTGATTAGTCTCTGTGCATTCTATCCAAGTTGGATCCTCCAGATAGCCATTGCCTTTTCCTCAAGGGAGCAACGGTGGCTTTCCTTAATGACGAAGTTTGGAATTTGTCAAATGTGCAACAGGGAAAATATCTTTATATCCTTTTTATCTACTGACCAGAGTTTCTGGCTTGAAATTTACCATGTACTCTCATTAAGTTCTTTAATAATGATAATTGATAATAATAATAGCTAACTTTCATTGAGCATGCCAAACAGTGTTCCAAGTGCTTTGTAGGTTTTAATGTATTTAAACATTAAAACAGCCCTATAAGGTGTAAGTACTATCATTATCCCTGTCTCACAGGTGAAGAAACTGAAGTATAAAAAAAGTTAATACATGTTCCAGAATGCAGCTAAAAAGTGGTGGGACAGGAATCATCCAGGTAGTCATGCTCGTTTGTGAATGGGAGATAAACCACAAGGCACACGTAAAATTTTATTTCATTTTCAACTTGGCATTATGGAAATTACACATCCCCTTGAAAGGCTGCATCCTTAATCTAAGCTCTCATGGTGCTATTACATAAGACATTGCAGAATGCTTATCTGCACTGAAGAGTTTGTGGGGTGTTTTAAGATTAACAGTGCTAGAAAATCTTCATCAAATGAAGATGGGTTTGATTTTTTTTTTAATGGAATTCATTCAGAGAAAAAAATCTGGCAAATGAAGCCAAATCATTCCAGTTTTGGTGAAAGTAATGAAATCTTGTCTTGAGAATGTGAAAGCAGTCCCAAAAGAATGGTCCAAACCTCTTTAGAGCAGGGTCAAACTTATGAATAAAACTTTTTTTTCTAAGATAACTGTTTTAAAGGTAGTTGCACCTGCTAAAAATTTTAATATATTGGATAAAACATAAGTTCTTGTTATTTAATAGCGTATATCTATGCGAAGAAAGAAACTTGTGAGCCTTAAGTTTGTCTCCACTGAATATCGTACTTTGCTTTTGTTAAATGTGTGTAGTTATATACACGTCATACTTATAAAAGCCCACCTCCTCTAAGAGCAATGACGGAATTAATTCAGAGCTTTCAAATAGGAGTATTTCATTAGTATCCTGGATACATTGAGTTGTAAAAAGTACATTTCAGAACCAGAACATCCCCTATGTAGTGAATGTGTGAGTTGAACGTATTTCTGAATAAGTATTTTTCTTTAAATTTGGAAAATAGACTTAAATTTTAACTTTCTAGAAGAGTTCTTTAAATTTCAATTTTAAGCAATTGAATTGTCCACTAACATTGTAATTATCAAGAATCCCATGGGACGTTAACAGCAGAGAACAAACACCATGTGTTAAGAGTAACACTAGGTAGTACGTTTTGAATCTTACATGTCAGGAGCTAGGCTGGCTCCTTTGCCTGCGTTATTTAATTCCCTCCGTACACACACACTCTCATAGTTACTGTTGGCATTTTCACTTAACAGAAGTAGTAAGAGAATTTGCAATATGGGGGAAATTCTTTAGGTCCTCTTTAAGAAAATCTTTAAAATGGCTTATGTTCGTACTTTCTAATCTACATTTTCTGAAGTCCTGAATTTTCAAGTCCCAAATCAGACTCTAGTCCTCACTTGTGCTAAACCCCCCCTCAATCAGTTCACATGTGAGCCAGTTGCTGCTTGTGATTTCACAGACCTCCTTCCGACTGTGTGATTATATGCCATACGTCATTCTCTAGTACTAGCGATTACATAGACTCTCAATCCTAAAACTGTCATTGCAATTTTTAAATGACTCAATTTTTGTCTTAATTTTACACTTATTTTTTGATTCTCATAGTGACAAAATATAGTTTAACTTTTCTGCACACAAATTTTGAGCCAATGAGCAGCCAGTTTAGTAAATAAATGTGCACCTAACATAAGAGATATAAGTGCTAACATTGTTTTTAACGAAAAATATCATACATAGTGCTAAAAGGAAAACCTGACACCACTACACTCCTACCCGGTTGGGATAACACTAGTCGTTACTTAGTACGAGGCATGAGGCTTGCTGCTTCTGCCACTTGTCCTAACTTAGAAGTGTAGGCTCTATTATGTTTCCACTTCTCTCACATCAGTTCCCCATTTCCCTGTTTTCAGGGTAAACTTCACAGCTTACAGAATTTTTGTAAATTAAATTCTCAATTTCTGAGAGTGCTGAATTTAAATAGGTGACCTGCCTAACATCTATTTCTTGACTGGTTTTGTTCATTTCTCTCTCTGTTACATTGCTACCTTAATAATCTTTCCAGCTACGTATCTTAAAAGATGTGATGGAGAAGTTATCAAGTGGAGTCTTTAGGTATGCTAAGTAACCAAATCATTGTTTATTTTTTCTATTCTCGAGGTAAGGCAAGCATTTCCACTTCTGTTTCAGTTTTCACAGCATACCTATTGCCACCATATTTTATTTTGTTTGGATAAAGAAGCTGCTCTTTAATATTTCTCGAAGTGTATCTTGTGATACACCAATAAGTATTCCCTAAGCTAGAAGTGGCTCATGAGTTCTCCTTAATCCGTTCCGTACCACACCACACAACCTTTGCTTTTCTCATCACCCTTCCCGAAGTAACATAAAATAACCCATAGCTTGAGAAGAGGGAAAAGTACAGTTTTGGTTTTTTAAGTTGGATCTGGGAGTGGATAAAGTAGGCATTTTTCCCCCATCAAAACTTAATCATTTTTAACAGTGGAAATACTAATGGACACGTTTGTTTGGATTATTTAAAATAATAGAATTGGGGTGCCCGGGTGGCCCAGTTGGTTGGGCATCTGACTTCAGCTCAGGTCATGATCTCCAGGTCCTGGGATAGAGTCCCAGGTCAGCCTCCCCACTCAGTGGGGAGTCTGCTTCTCCTTTTCCTTCTCCCTTTGCCCTTCCCCTTGCTCCTGCATTCTCTCTCAAATAAGTAAATAAAATCTTAAAAAAATAATAGAATTGAACTATAGCAATTGTCAACTACCATCCTATTGTTCTACTCATCTTTACCTTGACCTAACTTTATAATTTCATTCTTCCTCAGGCCTCAGTTGGATGAACCCATTCCACTGTATGAGGCGAAAGTTTCCATGGAAGTTGTTCAGAAAAATCAAGGAAGAAAAAAGCAAGTTGTTCAATTTTAATTTTGTTCTTTCTCAGACCTCAGTTGAATAAACCCCTTCCAGTACTTGAAGCCAGAGTTTCCTTGGGAATTGTTCAGAAAAGTCAAGGAAGATAAAAGCAAATTGTTCAGTTTTCCTGCTATGAGTCAAGACGCTCAAAGTTATTTAAAGTTTTTGAAAAGTATTTGAGAAATTGTACAAATGGTCAAGAAAATTCCATAATTAACATCTAAAGGGAATATTCTGGAATTCTTTTTGGCTTGTTTCTATACATTTGCCTCTGTTAGAAAATTCTTTCCATGAAGAAAATTGCTTTCAGGAAAAGCCACGCTACTCTATTGATAAAGTTTAGTCTTTTGGTATGTCAAAATAACGTTACTTTTGTATCTACTCCGTTCTCAATACCTTCCTTTTCTTAACAAACCTTTGCTGTCGTAATTTAATCATTTGAGTATATTTTCAAGTCTCAGTGGATTTAGTCCATAGACACTTTAACATTGTTTCAAGCATTCATTTATTTCAGGGTTTCCTCAGCATCAAACAGGACCATCGCTGTAACTTGCCAGTGGCAGCTGCAGCGTGTGCGGGGTGGAGGGGATTGGGGAGCTGCAGTGGCGATGCGTGGGCAGGGGGCTAGGAGACTGCGCTTGCTGATTTCCTGCCGGGGTTCTGTATTTTCGGTCAGGGGGATGGAGGCGCAGGCCCCTCTCGCCAGCTCTAGACGTCGCCACTGACTTCTCTAAGCTTAAGCGGCGGCTTAAGTGTGACGTCTCCTTTTCATCCAAGCGCCATGTCCTGAGCTCATTACCTCTCGGCTACAAATTTAAATAGCGGTTAGCTGTTTCGGGGAGTGCACATCGGTGCCCGGGACCGGGGGTTTCCCACCCACGACCTGACTAAGGCCAAGGGCCCAGAAGGAGCGCCGAGCAGCGGACAGGACGGGACAGGACAGGACCGGACCGAGGAGTAGGGGCGGGGCCTCGCGGGCGGCCGACGTCCCTCGCACTTGCCGCGCCTTGGGGGCGGGGCCACGTCGGGGGCGGGGTCGGCGCGCGCGGGAAGCGCCAGCGGGGAGGCCGGCCGACCCCTCTGCGTGAGCCGCGCGTTATGGCCCTATCGGTGCCTGGCTACTCGCCCAGTTTCAGGAAGCCTCCCGAGACTTTGCGGCTCCGACGGAAAAGGGCCCGGAGCCGGGGGGCGGCCGCTTCACCCGGCGAGCAGCCCGAGCCGGCGCCCCGCCGCGCCGCTTTGGCGGCCGGGCTGCTCCTCCGCCCCTTCCCGGCGGCGGCGGCGGCGGCTGTGGGCAGAGGCGGCGGCGGCCCGGCCGCGGCCCGCAGGAACCCCTTCGCCCGCCTGGACAACCGGCCTTCGGCCACCGCGGAGCCCCCCGACGGGCCGCCCCGCGGCCAGCAGGAGGCGCAGGGCCCGGTGAGTGTCTTCGGGCCTGGCCGGCGAGGGGCTCTCGTAGTGCGGGAACTCGGCTGTGAACTAGAGCAAGTTCTCGCGGTCAAGGGGAAATGGGCGCGGAGAGTGGTAGCCGCAGCGGTCGCCGGGCCGTGAGCATTGGGAGGGGCCGCTCTGAAAGGTGGGCTTTGTGTGGAGTGCGCCCCGCGAGCGGCTCCGTCGGCCCGGCCTGAGGGAAGCGTGGGGCACTGGGGCGCGCCCCCCCCACGCCCCGCCGCGGTCTAGCCCGTGGGGCCGGGTCGGAGGAGCTTGAGCAGCAGCCTCCTGGGGTTAGAGATCCCTGGGAAGACGGTTCGAAAAATCCTGGAACAACTCATCCAGGAAGGCCACTGCTCGATGGGAACATTACAGGAGACCCTCCTTCCCTGCGTGATTCAGAGCCTCCCTTCTCACGCGCTCGAAAATAATTCTGGAGATGGAGGAGTGTTGCGTCCCGGGGTCCGGATTTCCTAGCGTTTTCTTACCCCAAAGCCTTTGGAACTTTTGATTTGAGATTTCTGCATCAATTATTAGACGCACATATCACCGGCCTCCCCGCTCCCCCAATTTTGATAGTTACAAGTTCAGACACAAAACTGAAACCCTGATCGAGTGATTTGCATGTGAATTCCCGCACTTGGCATTTATTGGGAACTTGTATGCCGGGTGAGGCTCTGTACGTTATTAACGCAAACTCAGCATCACTTAGGATTAAAAAGGACCGTTGTTTTCCCCTCAGTTTTTAGATTCTAATCAGGAAAATGATTTGCTGTGGGAAGAGAAGTTTCCTGAAAGAACAACCGTTACTGAATTACTCCAGGTAATAGTTTTTAAATGTTAATAGAATGTATGTCCTTATAATCTAAATTCATACCTCTCAGAAACATTTACTTGGAAAATAGTTTTGCGGAGAGCGTTGAGGGAGTGATCATCTCTGCCAGGGATGAAAAGATGGCATCAGCACCCTAATGGACTTTGTCTGATGTAAAAATGATGTTTCTAACGGTACCAACCCTAAAGTTGGTGTAGATACAGGTTCTCCTTCTACCTCCAACTGTTGTTACGCTGTTCCTCTGTGGGTGGTGACAGCTCCAGCTCATCACTCCACACTCAGCTGCTATTTGAACTTAGTCCTTAACTGAAGCTTCAAACAGAATCCCCAAATTACCTCCACAGGTTGTGGCGTATTACCAAACCTTGCTGACACAACCACAACATCCACACTCTTGATACCGTGCCCTGGGGATTCCTGCTGTGATAGTTTAGCAGATACATAGTTTGTCCTAATAGGAGCAGGCTAGAAGAGCTAAGACCCACTCTCCTTTTCATGTAAATAGGTGACCTTCACAGGGTCTGTTAGAAATAGTCTCCCCCCAGGGGCACCTGGGTGGCACCTGGGTGGCTCGGTTGCTTAAGCAACCATCTTCCGCATGGGTCATGATCCCGGGGTCATGGGATCGAGTCCCACATTGGGCTCCCTGCTCAACGGGGAGCCTGCTTCTCCCTCTTCCACTCCCCCTGCTTGTGTGCACTCTCTCTCTGTCAAATAAGTAAAATTTTTCAAAAAAGAAAAAAAGAATGGTTCCCCCTTACCTGTTATTTTTTTGTGATGCCACCTCAAAGAATCATTGTAAAGTGGAGAAAATTGACTTGAAAGGACAGCAGAACAGTTTGGAAGGAAATAGTGAGATCAGGAAATGTTTTTTTACATATGGCCTCTTAAGAGCCCTGCCTGAGTTTCCTACAGGAGCCGCTTAGCCCTGGTTCCAGAGTTTTAGAGACTTAAAAGGTGCTTTTTAAATACTGGGGGACCCTGAGTGGCTCAGTCTGTTAAGTGTTTGACTCCTGATTTCGGTTCAGGTCATGATCTCAGGGTGGAAAGATTGAGCCCCGAGTCAGGCCCCACGCTCAGCAGGGAGTCTGCTTGAGGTTTTCTCCCTCTCCCTCTGCTCCTCCCTGCCCCCTAAAAATAAATAAATAATTTTTTTTTTTTAAATAATAAAAGATTTGGAAGGTTTTTGCTTTGACAGCATGATCAATAGTAGATTTTGGTTTTTTTAAAATTATGATTGTAGAAATAGTACACGCCTCTTGTAACTAAACTATATATAAACTAAAAGGTAAAATGTGCCCCTCCACCACTACCACCCATAACAACAATAAATCCCCACTTCCCAGAGAAAACCACTGTCAACAGTTTAGTGTAACTCTTTCCAGAGTGTTTCATAGTGTGTAGTATATTTCAGAGTTAAACAGTTTATAAAATTTTGACATTTCAGTGACCATGCTAGTCGATAAAATCTGTAGATTAAAGGGGTTTTTTTGACGTTTTGTTGTTTTTTTGGTACTCTACTCATTTTTGTGTTCTTTGTTTTCTGAAAGACTCCACAAGGATCAGTCTCTGAATCTGATATTCCATCCTCAGAAAGTACTGAGTTACCTGCAGACTGGAGTATTAAAACTCGACTCCTTTTCACTTCTTCTCAACCCTTTACCTGGGCAGATCATTTGAAAGCACAGGAAGAGGCTCACGGTGTCATCCAGCATTGTAGGGCAACAGAAGTTACTTTGCCTCAAAGTATACAGGTAATTCTGAAGGAAAATAGGTATGTTTTAAAGTAACAAATTAATTGTAAAACATACTTCTCTGCAAAATGTCACAGATACTTCTTCCAATAAGTTTTTCTTCTGACATTTAGACACACAAAGACTTGGGAAATTTTGTATTTCCTAAATCATGCTTTCATGCAGTTTTTTCTGTCAGATTCAGTAACTGCCCATTAAATTTAGAGACCTGTCCTGAGAATTAGTTAGTGTTATAGGCAGGAATTGTTTGAACTAAACCATTCTTTTCTAAGCCTTTTGGGGAAAAAAATATAAGGGAAAGAAATGAAAAGCAGTTGAGTAGGATTGCTAAGGCAGGTTGGTTATTCTGATTTTCTGATATGATGTATATTCTTTTTTTATACATACTAATCTTGCTACTGGTTGAGAGTCTGTTGTAAATATTGTAGTAGAGTTAATGAGTTCTAGAATGGTTTTGGAGGGATGTGATTTCTCAAGCAGCACATCAACTCAAACTAGGTTAAAAGTGATTACCTTTGGTATATCTTTTTTTAATAAATAGATCAGGATGATTTTTGATTTGCATTACCCATTTTTACTGGCTACTCTTGAAACAGTTGTGAGAGGAGAGGGGTTGAACATAGTATTACCTACATACAATATCAGTCCCTACCCATACTACCCCACCCCCATGATAACAGATAGCCATTGTTCTTGGGAGAGCTGAGAGAATGTTCCCATCTGTATTTTAAGTCTTCTTTCTGATACAGTTTAACAGACAATAAATGCTGGCAAGAATAAACTACATTTTAGCCCCTGTAACAGTTATTAATATTTTCCTATAGGAAACAGTAAAGATTCTGAGAATAAGTGGTATATTTAGTGCTTTTTAATGAAATTTTATACTTCTAATGTGGCAAAAGCTGTCCGATACCATCTCTGGATTTTAGGATCCCAGGCTCTCCACTGAGCTCCGTTGTGCCTTCCAGCAGAGCCTTATCTATTGGCTCCAGCCTGCCTTTCCTTGGCTACCACTGTTCCCTCGCATTGGAGCTGATAGAAAAATGTCTGGAAAGATAAGCCCTTGGTCAAATGATGAAACCTTGCAACACATTTTAATGAGTGACTGGTAAGATTAAAAACTTATGCATCCTAATAGTGAGTTCTCATTTTATCAGTGTTCTCTCCTTATTTACGAGGTGGAAATGTGTAGTGGTAAAAGGATCTCTGTGTCCTTCTGAATTATTTTTTCTAAACTGTTAATAACCAACATTTAAATTGTTCGCTTTTTTTTTAACTCTTATTCACTCTTCATGCAATTGTGGAATTATGTATAAGTGTTATATAAATATATACGGGCATTCTTTTATGTTATTTCTTCTCAGTGGTTGCTTCCTTTCTCATCAGCAGAAGCTGCTCAGAGAAAAGTCAGCAACCGGTTATCGATTGTGTTTTGTTTAAAGAAAAAATGTTGAGTGTTTAAGCAGTAAACACTATTTGTTAAAGTATTTAGAAGTCATCAGTGAGTCCCATGACCAATTTTAGTCCTGTAAAAGCCAAGTTATGTATGTAGTAGCAAAAATTCAAACCACTATCTGTAATACTTGTATTGTGTTTTCAATCAGGTATCAAACTGAATTATAAAAAAACTAAATTTTAGATGTTAAGCTAAATATGTAAAAAATCTAAAGAAAATTTTGCTGCTTCTTAGGTCTGTGAGCTTCACTTCTCTCTATAATCTGCTGAAGACAAAACTTTGCCCATATTTCTACGTTTGTACCTATCAGTTTACTATCCTGTTCCGCGCAGCAGGATTAGCTGGAAATGATGTAATCACAGCTCTCATATCTCCTACAACTAGAGGCATAAGAGAAGCTATGAAAAATGAAGGTAAAACTATTGGCTTAAAGTGAAACTACCACACTATATATTAATTACTTTCCTTAAAAGCCAGAATTTGGATTGCCTTTTTACCAACTGAATTGTCTTTAACCAGTTTTATCTATATTTTTTAAGAAACATCGTATTTCTGATTTTTTTTTTCCAGAAATGATTTACGCTGTCCCTTATGCATAGCTTTAAGTTAATGGTATTCCCTTCTCTGATATGACCGACACATGCTGAGCTGGGAAGTTCCCATCTGAATATACTCCTGTAGAAATTCCTTGCTGGTACAAATTACCTACCCCCTTTTTAATAACAATCTTCCAACTGGGTCAGTCATTAACGATCATGAAATCTATTTAGTAGGCTCAGTCAGCACTTTAGGAAAGAGTACCACGTAGTGAGAGTATGTATTGTTGAAAGAGGGGGCGTGTGTGTGTGTGTGATGGCTACTGTCAAGAAAGCTTGAAAGTTACTGCCTTAATAGATCGTGTAAAAGCTCAAATCTTCAGATTTCATACTCTCTAAAAGTAGGGCACACCTGTTAAGTTCTTTGAGATTATACTAAAGAAAACTCAGTTATATTTTTCTTTTCTCATGTAGGTATTGAATTTTCTCTGCCATTAATAAAAGAAAATGGCCATGGGAAGAAAAAGGCTTCCGGAACAAGCCAAGGACAGGGAGAGTATGTGATTAAAATCACCTTTTACGTCACCTAAGGACTTATGGACTCAGTGTAGTTGTTTTGTAGAGGGAACAGTTTTATGAAATGGAAACTCTTAACAATTTTCTAGGGAACAAGTAATCAGTGATGAGGATGAAGATGAAAGTTTTTCCTGGCTGGAAGAGATGGGTGTGCAAGATAAAATTAAAAAACCAGACATACTCTCTATCAAGCTGTATCCTTTCGGTTGTGTTAACTACAATTGGTTTTCATTGAATTAAGTTAGCGAACTATGTATGTAATATTGACTGACAGCTTTATTTGACTGTAATCTTAAGATCATATTAAAACTAATTCTCTGGGGCGCCTGGGTGGCTCAGATGGTTAGGCGTCTGCCTTCGGCTAAGGTCATGATCTCAGGGTCCTGGGATCAAGCCCCACATTGGGCTCCCTGCTTGGCGGGGAGCCTGCTTCTCCCTCTCCCTCTACTGTTCCCCCTGCTTGTGCTCTCTCGCTCTCTCTGTCAAATAAATAAAATCTTTAAAAAAAAAAGTAAACTAATTCTCCATCATGATATTAAATAAGACTCCCTAAGTACCAGTAAACCATGAACAATTATTACTAAACTGTTTTTTTAAATGAAAACATTCCATACAGAGCATATTTTTGACTAGAGAAGAAATTAGTTTTTGTTAGGTGTCAACTTCTAGCAAATTCAAATGGTCAAAGAGAAATTTTGATGTAAACAGATGCATTATAATTGCAGCAGAGTCGGGGGTAGCAAGAGTATTTCCAGTTCCGAATGGGAAGAAAGGGTTCGAGGTTATTAGGATCAAGATGACTGTCTTTCCCAATGGTATGGGATTTAAATTTGCAAGTTCCTTGATTGTCATCTTCAGACGTAAAGAGAAACATGAAGTGCAAATGGATCACAGACCTGAGTCTGTTGTGTTGGTGAAGGGAATGAATACCCTTACGTTGCTGAATTTTTTGATCAACTCTAAGAGTTTAATTGCTAGTTCAGGTCCCCAGGCAGGACTTCCACCAACCCTCTTATCGCCTGTAGCTTTCCGAGGTGCCACAATGCAAATGCTTAAGGTAATGAAAAGGGGGGAAAAGAATCTACACTAATCCTCATAAACTAGCCTTTTAAGAAGAAATCAAGAACAAATTCTTGTATGGTGCAGATTTTGTCTTTGCTTTCCTCCCAGTAAAAAATTCATTGATACAAAGGTATATCAAAGGAATTACATGAAAATACAGTAATTATATGAAATGTTTGAATTACATGAAAATCATTTTTTCTGACTGAATAAATATGATTGGCAACAAAAAAAAGCGTTTTGCCGTATGGAAAAGTTGCTTAATCTCATTTTGTCTCATTTCTTAACCAATGCAAGAACCTAGCCAGGATTGTTATGTTACATTATTAATCTCAAAACCCGAATCATGGATAAGTGGAAAGACTAGCTGTATATCGATAGTGATGAAAAAAATTATGCATGTAAATACAAAGTATATAGTGAATGTTACTAGCAATAGAATTATTTACTTTTAAAAATAGAATTTATTCTTATATTTGCCCAATATTCTGCATTGAAAATATATTAACCAAATTGGGATGGGAGGTGGGCAAAAAGGGGTAAAGGGGAGCAGGAGGTGAGTGCTTCCAGTTATGGAATAAAGTCAGGGAAATGAAAGTTACCGCACAGGGAATACAGTCAGCGGTGCTGTAATAGCATTGTACGGTGTTGTACCGTGACAGATGGGAGCTACGCTTACGAGCACGGCATAATGTATAGAGTTGTAGAATCACTGTTGTACACCTGAAACTAATGTAACATTTTGTGTCAACTGTACTTCGATTAAAAAAAGTTTTAATAGGGGAACCTGGGTGGCTAAGTCATTAAGCAACTGACTCTTAGCTCAGGTCTTGATCTCAGGGTCATGAGTTCAAGCCCCAAGTTGGGCTCCATGCTGGGTATGGAGCCTACTTAAAAAAATTTTTTTTAATAAAAAGAAGGGTATTACTAAATCAGGATGCCATATGAAAAATTATAGCCTCTAAAACATGCATAAACTGAGTCATAATTTGGAGAAGATGAGCTACAGAATGGAGAATTAACATTTTTACTCCTATAGCGTTCTTTGGAGGTCTTGTGCACTACTTTATGCTATGATCACAAGCGTAGTAGCTACTGTCACCATACAATGCTATTAAAATACCACTGACTATATTCCCTCTATGCTGTACCTTTTAGTCCGTAACTAATAAAAAGGAAAACCGAAATGAAGTTACTGAACAAGTCTTTAGGGACAAAAAAGCTTGAGAGATGGTGACCATAATTTTTTCTTTAAATTTTCTTGAAGGCACGAAGTGTAAACGTGAAAACACAAGCTGTTTCTGGATACAAAGATCAATTTAGTTTGGAGATTACAGGTCCTGTCATGCCTCATTCTCTACATTCTGTAACCATGCTACTCAGATCTTCACAAAAGGGGTCATTTTCTGCTGGACTGTATACACATGAGCCAACTGCCGTATTTAATACCTGCCTGCCAGTGAATAAAGTACTGGATAAGGTAAGTAAACAGCTGTATGCGTATTTCATTGTAGCTCATTTCCTCAGATGCAAGAAGTAAGTGATTTACAATGAGCCAAACTTGTATCTCAGTTTATTAAACTTACTATTCAACTTTATCAATCCTAATTACTAAGATGAAGGGTTAAGATTTGTTTTTTTTGAGGTAAATTTTAGGAATTTAGGTTGTACTCAACGACTAAAGAGCTTCCCAAACAAAAAGAAAAGGCAAGTTATGTTCATGGCCATCTCAGATCCACAAATTAATAGTACCTGATTCTTTTATTATAAACAACTATGGGTAACCAGTTTTTGCTCTTAATTTTGGACATAGGTTTTTATTTACAGGTATTAAGACCTTTAAAATTGCCTCATGCTTTTATCATTTGCCAGACTTATGAAAATAACCAAAATTATTTGTGGATGCTATTGTTATGTGAAAATTTTTAGGGTTAACTTCTATTGATAATGAACTGCCTTTACCTTATAAGCAAATGATTAAGTTCCCATGGTAATTATTAAAATCTGAGTGTCCAGGGGCACCCGGCTGACTGAGTTGGTAGAGCATACGACTCTTGATACCAGGGTTCTGAGTTCAGGCCCCACATTGGGCATGCAGCCTACTCTAAAATAGAAAGGGGAACCTAAGCTGGTTCAGCCGGAAGAGCATGCAATGCTTGCCAGGGTCGAGAATTCAAGCCCCACGTAGAGATTAGTAAAATATACAAAAATGAAAAAAGTAAAATCTGAGTGTTCAAAGACTGATGTGCTTTTTAACTAACTAGAGTACAAATTTCCACAGGAGACTGTTCATGAGGAGCTTGCCAACTGTGGGTTGCATCCTAAGACTCTGGACCAACTCAGTCAAACACCAATACTGGGAAAATCATCTTTAAGGCATGTGGAAATGAGTGACTACGTTTATAATTGGAGATCCTGAACACCAAAGTAAGCCTAAAAGGAATCTTTGAGGAAAAAGCCTTCTAGCAAGGAAATTCAAGATTGTTATCCCTTTGGCTCTAAAGTTCATTTTGGAAGTTAAAGGAATATAACTATCTTTAAAATATTCAAATATTTATAAATGTTAACCTTTTAATTTTTATTACATGCGTTAAGCAATAGGATTAAGATTTTTAAATCAGTATATTTTTTACTCTTCTGATTAGATCATTCAGATATGAAGACAACTCCCAACTTTTTAAAAACATCAGTAACAGACTTCCAGACCCTTACAACCTAATTATAAACTGAGTAGAAAACTGAATGTCATGAATGTCAGTGTTTCCTTGCAAATGGGAAACTGAAGCTAAATTACTATCCCTTATTTCCTGGCATTGTGACTGATGGCATCAGGGCAAAACTGTACTTGATAACATCACCTACAATTATATGCAGGTTCTAGCTTTAAAAAGATAACACAACAAATGTAGACCGTATCTGCTAAGCTGATTGATGTGTCTACTTAGTTGCTTTCCTTCTGATTTATAATTCCTTTATTCTCAAATATATTAAATTTGGCTTTTTAATGCATGTTAATTCAGATAAGGGTATTTTGTATTCCACATAGAATAGTGTTAATTGTAATGTATGCTCAGCTGTCATGGTAAAGTAGTATTTATTGCTCTGGGGTGTGTGTGTGCGGGGGTGGGTGGGGGTTTGAGAGTGTGTGTGTATGTGTGTGTAATTCAGATTTTCTTAAAAATAAAAGTACTTAGAAATCAAAAGCACTGGGTAAAGAATTAACAGTATTTAGTGAAGAAGTATGTGTTCACTTTAAGATCCAGAAAATAAAACACCACATTTATTCCAGAGAAGTTTATATTTGGGCCTTAAGCTTTTGAAAATAAAGTTTAGAGACATAGCATTATGAATACCACTGTAATACACATGAAATATTCTATCAGACCCTAAAAATTAACATAAACTTAAACTTTCTCATAGTCAACAAAATAGTGGCTGGGTGCCGATTTTATTAGATAAGTTGGTTACAGCATTTTAATTATCATTTAACGTCTATCTAGGTGTAGCTGAAATTCAAAATGCACATCAAAGTAAAACTATATCACAACTCAATGCCATACTAAATGTACTTGGCCTCTGCAGTAGAATTCTAATCGGACTTCATTTTGACTCCCTTCTCATGGCCCAAGTGGCTTTGATGGGAATGCAGGACTTAGTGCAGATCATCACACAACATACCACTTTCTTTTTATAACCTCTACAAAATTTTCAGGGGAGATGGTGGCTACTAGCCCTGTGGAACAGATCTTGCTTGATTACCTCAGTAACACTGGCCCAGTATCTGTCCAGCAGAACCCATTGTGAACTAGTACAAGGTGCACAGCCCTTCACTGATTACAGGCAAGTGTTACAGCAGCCTAGCCATAAGGAAGGGAGGTTACATCATAGTACAAAATACAGTATAAAAGCGTTATTTAACATTCCACACTGAAGATTACGGATGCCTTCAAACAATCGTTTGGATGTTAGCCACTTAAACAAATACATCACTAAGGTAAACAATATAAACATACCAAAACCCTGTATGGTTAAATACAATTTCCATGGTACAAAAATCAAAGCCTGGAGATGTTTGTACAGATTGCTTTTTACACAATGTCTTAAATTGCCAAATATTTACAACATTAAAGAGGAAATAACATTTTGATGCAGAGTAAAATTATCTGAAATGATTAATATAAAACCTCAATCTATCTACGTGAGGCACTCCTGAAGCAAGTGGCATTAGCCATGAGGTCCTTTGGTACAAGGCCCATTGCTTGAAGAACCACAGTAGCTGCTGTGGCTTTAGCATGCTTCTTATTAGGGCTGGCAAAGCTGGGCTGGTAAGCGCTTCCATTTATCAATACCTATTCAAGAAAAACATACAATTGGGCTGGTAAGGGCTTCCATTTCTCAATACCTATTCAAGAAAAACATACAATAAGAACAGCATCAAACTTTAATATCTATTAGCTTTGTATTTTTTCACTAAATGCTAGAAAAATAATTTACAAAAATATAAACCCCACACTATGTAAGTCAAATTAATCTCAACCCAGAAGAAGCAAATCATTTGGGAAAAGGGACTGCAAATTAAAAGCAGGTCTCCAAAGGGGGGGGGGGCGTGGAATGGAGAAAACCCTGATAAAACTACTAAATTAATTCCCCTTGTTCCATTAGAAAATGTCAACAAATTGTTCACCAGATTTTTGCCCACATCTTTTCCCTCCAACGTTTTTGAAAACCAGGATATTAACAGGTTGTATTAAAATGTACTTAAATATTTAAGAACCCAAAAACCCTACCACCACTTCTACCCACACATACATATTCACTCCCAACCCACAATGTATCAATCCTGTGACCATACAATGCCTATCCCTCACCCTCTAAGTCATCAAATTAATAGGGGTATACAATTAATGCAGAAATTCATATTTACCCTAAAGAGAAAATGTTTGCGATGATCTGGGCCACTATCATGGACCAAGAGAAATTCTGGTGGTTGCCACCTTCTCTTATTACAGATTTCCATCAAAGCAGACACAGGATGTTTGCCTGCAGAGGAAAAAATAACCATGTGTTAATTATTTTCACTATCTGTGGCAATGAATTATGAATTCAAGGTGGGGATGGGACAAGAGGAAATTAAAACATACTCTCACCTGACAGATCTTTCATTGCAGCAGAGAAGTTTCCGGACCTCTTTTGTGCTCTTTCTCCTACTGCAACAAGACCTTTAAAATAAAAAGCCATCGTTCACTGAATAAACTCCAAAGCATCATTTTAAAATTATACAATGATTCCCTCTACAGGAATCTGAATCTCAACCTATACCTTCCAATAAAATATTCAACTCCCACTACCCTTGATTTTTATAGAATTTGACTTCTGTTTTCCTCTATTTCAATATGTAAACCTATATACTTTATGTTCATATACCTTGGTACTAGAAGTTGTATAAAAAAATCAAAATGTTCAGAGAACACAAAAACTTAGTATATGAATAGTGCCATATTTAACATCTCCAGGACTGTTTCTTTGTAAGTTTAAAAAGTAGTGGCTGTTTATTACAATTGATTTCTAAAGGCAATGCTCAGTTAAGTTCTCCAAAAGGTGAGGATTTTAGGCCACACGTTCCAAACAATTAAAGTGAGAAGGTGTCTCTATAAATGGGTCTGTATTTTTCTCAGCAAACAACCCCTTTCTGACTTATCAAATGAAGACGTTCACAGAAGACAGACGGTCTCACTGCATGACGTCCCTTCCCAATGGAATCTCACTGTATTACTAGTCAAAATCCATGCTTTCCTGCTTCCATTTTTCCTAGAACTTTCAATCAGTTCTTTACTAATTCTGCTAGTATGCTTCTCCAAATCCAACGCCTATTACACAATTCCAAAGAGGACGTTCCCTGGAATTACATAATGCATTCACAGATGTTTTCTTCCAATCACCTTTTATGACACAAAATCTATTCAACTTGTATAAGTAAGACAATGTCAATGTGCCATCAGTACAATATCCTTTTCTAATGTAATCTAGAGTTTGAATTGATGCTACAGCACAGAATGATTCTCATGCTATTTCCAGCCTACTGGAGAATCACTACATTAAATCCCTCCAATTTGGGGGACAGGGGAAATGGCATCACAGTATTTATGTGGATGACAATATAGAAATTCTGACGCAAAACATTTTATAAGACACACAATTTGGTCCGAGCTAACTGGTTTCCAAATTCACTGACACAGAATAATTTAATTGCATTAACTTCAACTTACTTTTCTGACTGCAAAGATAAGGAAAATTAATTCCAGTTTTGAACTTTCCAGTTCTTAAAAATCAGGCTTATACAAACAAGCTATTGAAATCACATTGAGCTGACAGCCCAGCCCCACCTGATTCTATGTAAGACGTTATTCCAAGGGAAGAAATTACTTAAAAGGTACCAATTGGTTGTTATCAATGAGCACTAAATGTATATATACATATATGTATATATGTATTTTTTTTTTAATGTGGGGGGGCAGAGGGAGAGAGAGAATCCCAAGCAGGCTCCACACCTAGTGGGGAAACCTAATGCAGGGCTCAATCTCAAGACCCTGAAGATCATGACCTGAGCTGAAATCAAGAGTCAAATGCTTAACTGACTGAGCCACCCAGGTGCCCCAAGTGTATTTTTAATACTTAGCGACTGCATGCAGGTTATGTAGACAGATCTCCATCTGAGAAGCAAAGTACTAGTAAAGATTTTTAGAAGTTCAAGGTGCCCCAAGCACAAGGTAAAATGAAGAGCTGACATTGCTGTCAGCAACTGGTCTGCTGTTCTCCAGCCCCAACCCCAGAAAACTCAATTACAGAGCTTTAAAAACGGACATGCCAAAAGGGTATATAGGATGAAGACAAAACAGCACTCTAATAGGAAATAAGGAGAATATGTGGGATAAGAGATCTGAGAAAGGGGGACACCTGGGTCGCTCAGTTGGTTAAGCGGCTGCCTTCAGCTCAGGTCATGATCCCGGGGTCCTGGGATCGAGCCCCTCATCGGGCTCCCTGCTCAGCGAGGAGCCTGCTTCTCCCTCTCCCACTCCCCCTGCTTGTGTTTCCAAAATCTTTAAAACAAAAAAAAACCGAGAAAGGAAAAAAAATACAGCCCAGAAACAAAGACAAGTATACGCTCCCTGTCAAGAGAAAACAAAATGGGGATACCATTTACTAAAATGTGCACACTGATATGTGCACATTTCCGTAATATTTAAAACTAACATTGAGACCGTCTTTTAGCTCAAAATAGTGACTCCATCTATATCTATACAAGCTGCCACAAATGGGTAAAAGCTTTCATTTCCTAACAAACAGCTATAAATGTGCTACAGTTAAGCATCACGGACATCAAAATGTAGGAAGGTTATGTTGGGGAAAATAAATTTTTTTTTTTTTTTTGAAAGAGGCGCCCAGCTCGCTGTCAGTAGAGCATGACTCATGATCTCAGGGTTGTAAGTTCAAGCTCACACTGGGCGCAAAAAAAAGTAGGACAGTTAATGAAACCCTAAAATATCAAAGGAGGTATAATCAACATTCCCAAAACAATGTGTTACCTTTTCGGTCTGTCTTAAAATCAACTAGGATAGGTTCCTTATTTCCTTCTTTGTTTTTTCCTAATCCTTCTCCTTCTCTCCAGCCCATTTTTCTCATCAAAACGGCTCCCATTCCTCCAGTTACCGGGGCTGCTCTTAAGAACTGATCCTATCCAAAGAAAGAAAGGTAAAATGTCCCCATTTCACAGTTAGAATTTGACTACAAACTCTGTTAACTTAAAAAAAAAAAAAAACTTATTTTCTAGATCTGATATAGCAATTAAATTTTAATTTCTATACTTATATACATACTGTAGTGTGGATGTTCTAATTATTTTCACATTAACATCATAGTATTTTGAAAGTCAAATAAGGCAAAAAAATGGCAGTTTAAAACAGTGGCCCTCATGCCCCCTCCAAAAAAAAAAAAAAAATTAGAACACTCCTGTTTTCGTCCACTATTTAGGTTCACTGGTATCTCTTCTTAGCTTGCAAAATAAAAAGAAGGCAATGTTAAAACAGTCAAATATTAATTGTCCCAGGTGTACCTAGTTAATGAATAAAGCCCAGAAATCATTTAGAAATAGTTTGGACACTGAAGAAGCATACTGTTAACATCCCAAGTGTTCTTCCCCATTCTACCATAAAGCAAGTATAAATATTTTACTTAGAAAATCCCTATGAAGCAAAAAGATAACTCTTCATATTTACACAGTAAGAAATGGACAGTCACATAAAATACCCTGTCATCATACCAAACTGAAACTGCATTCTTTTAAAACCTAGCGTGATGTTAAAAGACGTGTAAAAAACTCCTTAAGCGTTTACATACCTAGGCCTCGGTGGCAGCAGTGTTGTGAATAGTAGGGCTGGCACTGACCGGGGCAAGAAGGCAGCTACAAGGATTTGGCCCTGAAACAAGTTTCCATACAGAGGGGTGAAAGTTCACAGGTTATTCTGTGAACAGTCATCTCTCTTGTATCCAACCCACTGAACCATAATTTCCATCAAAGCAGCAAACCACTTAATGTCATAAGATGCACAACTATATACATTAGCATGGTCAACAGTCATTTTCATACATTAATAAGTAGGCGATGCCTCTATTTTGAAGGACATCCATGTACACAAAACAAATTGTTGATTTTTATGGTCACTTTTTTTTTAAGTCTGTAACATCTCCAAATCCTGCTTTACCTCCCCTTGTTATTAAATTTTTGAGTTATGTTCTCTAGCAAATATATAGCAAAAGTCATTAACTTATCAACAGAGGGAGTCAAAACTTTTGGTAGCTCTGGAAAGAGTATGCATTATTTCCTGTATTGATAAGTTAATACTAAATTTTTTAAATCTTGTTTTTACACACAGTAGTAAAACTGTATCTTATTTTTTTTTCCCCAGCTTTGTAAATTATATGCTGGGGAGAAAGCATGCCAATGATGTGTGACTAGACATTAAGTTCAACAAGGTGCTCTGATGGAAGGAGGCAGCTGTGGAGGTAAAAACATACCCCTGGTTCAGTTCCTTATTTGGTGCAGGCCATGCAGTGTTGATGTATAAAGAGAAAAGTTAGCTGATGCTTGGATATCAACTGCCTTGTTGCTACACACCTACAGTGACTTTTACTTACTTCCAGGTTCATCCGCCCCTCTTTTCCAGGCAACACTCCTAAAAAAAAGGGCAACTGTGCAGAGTATAACGCAAATTCCCAAATAACCCAGGCTTCCAACTCGGTTTCCATTCTCTACTATCTTCATGTTTCTTTAACCCCCTTGTGTATACAGTTCACCAAAAAGCTGCTTAATCTAATGAAACTATTAATAGTAAACAAAACCCATCGGGTCATGTCCAAATCATTTAATTCCAAAAAATAAAGGTTCTTTTAAATCAATTACCAGTTAAAAATTTTTACTGACAAAGAGTAGTAATGGTAAAACTCTCGTTCTTTTTCATCTAAGAACCTACTGCAACAAACTAAAAAGAATACGGAGAATGTTGGCATTCCAAGGGGTTTTTAGCACAGAAGAGGGTGTTGGGCTATATCAAGGCAAGAAAAGCTATATGATCACCGAAAAAGTTTGCTCAACATAATAAACAGACATTTTGTGACCTGACAGTGAAGATAAATGTTAAATTTTCAGCTAAGGACTTTTCCACATTTTTATAAATGTTCTTTCCTATCAGTAGCAAATGTTCTTCTGTAAACATATAAATGGGAGTTTTTCTGAAAGCACAGCTTTCTTATTATTTAAAAACTTCTCTGATGAACACATCTCATCATTTATCAAAATGACTTACACAACATTTAACATGATGTGAACTATTTAAAACCTGTCAACTGCCTACAAGACTGGAAGTCAAAAAAAAAAATTTAAGGGAAAGTTTGCAGGGAGCCAATTTAACCATTAAGAGATTCATTTTTGCAAGTTATGTTAACATGATTTTTAGAACCATGTAAGTATTATGGATCAGTACTTCATTATACGAATGAAGTCCAAAATTTTGCAATGGAATAGCATTTAGAAGTTTCTACCTAATAATGTTCAAGACTATTTAAATTTTTATGTGCCTAACCACCCACATAAGCTTCAAGTCTAACTTTCTGAAATACTGAGCACTCAAGCTTCAAGATTAATTAGTATTAAAGAATTAAAACTATTCAAATAGGTGTGTAATTATAATTCTTCCCAATGAGAACCATTTTCAAATACTACACAAATCACTATATTTTTAAACACTGTAATATAGTTAAGTCCAAAATGAACTCAAAACTTAAAATATTTTGCTAGATTTTCATTTTTTCCAACACCAATCCCTAGTAAATTGCAATTTACAATTACCTAGTAAAAGTTGTAAATTTTTCATACATCTGACCATATACTCACTATACACCTATTAGTGCAACTATCTCCCCCCAAAAAATGGCAGGCAAACTGAGGGTATATCACGTCTTATATTAATTTGTTAATAAGAGGGTCATTAGAGATAATGCTATCAAAATTGAAATATTATGAGATTAAAAGAGCCGAAGCAACCAAAATCTCATTTTGCCGAAATTCAGTTCATTCCCTGGCAATCATTACAATTCTTCATAGGTGCCCATCACGCTATTAATTACCACCCTGTGAAGCAGTAATAAGGACTTGTCTTCTCATGACAGTCGGAGACTGAAATTCCAAGTAATTACTTGCCCATGATCACAAAAGCAGTCAGGAGTACAGCGGGATAAAGAAACCTTCCCAATCCTTTAGACCACGCAGCCTCCCAGTTTCAGCACTGCCATGCTGCCAGTACTCCTGAAACAAATTTCCCATCACCCATCCAACCAAACCACATCCCTTCACCAGAAGGCGTTTCTTTAGAAAGCCCTTCTTAACCACCTAAGACTCCCCCAACAATGAGGCAGCCGTAGGTGGAGTTCACAGGTCTCATTGCAGGAATCTGAAACCAGGAGCACCTACATCTTCACAGCACGAGGCGTCCGTCCTCTCCCTTGAATTTAGGTCTTATTTTATCCTGTTTTTGTTCATGAGATCAGTGGTTCTCAAATTGAGCCTGTGGATCACCAGAGGCCACCAGGGCCTAAATGGTGGTCCACAGATAGTATCCTCCGTCCCCACCCCGCCCCCTTCACCACCCTTTCAGCACTGCCCACCCCCCACACACACACACTCCAGCCCTCCTCCCCAGCCTTCCAGTCCCATGGCAAAATCACCACATGCAGTGCTAATACTGGGGCCTCCCAACCAACTTGCTGTAACCGGCAGCTGACAGATCCCTACGGTTATAGGGATCGGGGGCTGGAGGTCACCAGAGGGGTGAGGAATAAGGGCCAAGAGAGCTTACAAGAGGGCACAGGCACTAAGGAAGGGGAAAGAAGGACAGAGGAATAGAGAAATGGAAAAACTGGGATGGTAAGAGGGCTCTTGGGGGCAGTGATCCACCAAAAATAAACCTGTAATAAAGTATCCCATGATGAGAAAAAATTTGAGAACCACTGCTTTGAAATCATTAGATTAGTAGTCCAACAGGAACTGTGGAACATTCTGAACAGCACCTGAGATACACTGTTAGCATTCAAAACGGTTTTAAAAAACCACCCCCCAAAAAACCAGCAGCAGCAATACAGAAATAACTTGAGGATATAAACGGAGCGGCTCTTAAGCCATATTTATACATTTGCCAGTCTCACAAATCAGGTCCATCTTCAGTGTCCATCCTAGAGTATATACACACACAGCAAATCTACTCATGAACTTTGGTTAAAGTCACTGGCCTCTTCGTGCATTTTTAATAAAACATTTTCTAAAAAAAAAAGTATCTTAACTTTGTACTTGGCCACTTTCATATGTGCGGATGTTGTGTACCTTTTTAATCCAGGCTTGGGCACCAGTATTAGCCAACTGTTCTTGTGTCAGAACCTGTACTCCCGTACTTCCGGTGAACTGACCAGGAATGGAGTTCAGCTGAGCCCAGGCATCAATCTGAAGGAAAAAAAGATGCCTCAATTAACTATGTAAAATTACTTATCTAGTCAAAATCCCACTGGTTTATTTCACCACACGAAATGCTTTATTTCGTTCTTGAAAAAGCTAAGACTTAAAACTTCAACTTTTAAAACAGTATGATGAATTTATACATATTTAAAATTGTTTTCTTAAACACTCCAAAGCAGCATTTTGGTAACATTCAGTGGGTCCCATTAATAACAAGATTTGAGATGTATTTCTAACAACTAAAAAGTATAACTGTAATATTCATTCTTCAAAATATCACATGGATACATGAACACAGAAAAGAGTTCATATGGCAAAGGATCCCTGCCCTCTGCTTATGTACGTATATATATGTCATAATCACCTGAGTTTTTAAGTACCTTCTTTGTGGTATTAGAAATCCAGAATAAATTCAAGAGACATGTTTAAGGAGTAATAAACACAGGAAATTGTTCAAACACATAAAACAGCTTTCTTTAAAAACTGAGCACTACATTAATCACCATCATTTACTGTGATGGTTAAAGAATCAATTGTCGGTCCTCCACAGATTTACTGCACACTGGCATTGTCAGGCAATGGTATTTCCTTATCTGTCTCAAAGTGTATTTACTGTTTCTACACAGATCTACCAAAGGAATGTAGAAGACAAATGGAAAAGCTTCCACTGTTAAAAATAAAGACTCTGGACTCAGACTGCCTAATCACTTTTTTTTTTTTTACTTTTAATTCCAGGGTAGTTAACATACAGCATCATCTTCGTTTCAAGTTGACCAACCACTCTGTAGTCCGTTTCCTCTGCTGGAAACTGGGAAATCATAATAGTACCCACATCTCACAGGGCTACTATGGGTGCATAGCTACTTTTAGATACCAACTTACGAACTCTGTAAGGGCAGGGAATTTTCTCTCTTTTACTTTTTTCCTAAGGAGTTCCTGCCACACAGCACACAATAAATACTTACTAAATGAATGCTCATGCCCCAAATCATTTTCATTTAGAATAAGCTAATAATGACAAATTATTTATTTCCTTGGATTTTTAACATTTCAACAGCATACCACAGACTTAGCTTATCTCACAACTATCTAATTAAATTCTCATTTAGACATTAGAACTGCTACATACCCGTTCCTGAGCTCGATTTAACATGCTCATGGCTTCAAGGTCAAATGCATTCTCACTGAGTCTTTTCTGAGCAAGTGCCCGCTCACTCATTGCTGTTGAGATGTCCACAGGCTAAGAAAGAAAACATAGATAATTATCTCAACTTACGATAGACCCCCTAAATTCTAAAGTGCTCTTATCTTTAGCTGCTACACGTCAAAAATAAAATAGTAGTCTTACAAATTAATAATCTTTAAAAGTACAGAAAAGATGCCAAAAAGTAAAGGAACCTTGGAAAGTAGACGAAGATTTAATAAGGTAAGTTACAAAGTATCAGAGGCAGTTGAACTCAACCCAAAATGCAATTTCATTATTTTCTACTTTATCAAATTACAATCATAGAAAACTGCAAAGAACTTAAAACTCTAGCTTTCACTAACAAGTCATTTACAAAAAATTGAGAAATTCTGAACTATTTTTGAACTGTTAATTTTATATGCATTAGCAGTTTTACCTTACTTATTAGCATAACATTCAGAAGTAATAAGCAAGGTTCTTTAATAAGCAAGCAGAAAACCACTATCCTATCAGTGGGCTCTCCTTCACTCATTCACACATCTTTCCACCTTCTTGCAGATGCTCAGGGATAATTTGGTCTTAAGACCTCCACTTCTTCAAAAAACATTAAATACATGACTTTTTGTTTTCAGCTTATATACATTAATGACCCAAATTAAAATAGTTCTGTGGGGGTAAAGAACAACATGAACAAAAATACTTAAAATGAAGTATGTCTTCCTTTTCAAAGCTCATACCCTACCTGTAAAAACTGTGTTACGCAGAGGTGACTTTATGGTTTAACTTTTTTAAATGCTTCATAACGTCCCAGAAAATTCTTAAAGGTAATCTTTAGAACAAATTCCCAATTTATCAGTTTTGTGGAAGGCTCAACCGTAAAAGGAAAATCAAGTATTTGATGTTCTTTTGTCTGTTAAGAGCTCATGTTGGCTTCTATCAACTTACCAATTCTTAATACTTTTCTTCTGACACAACTTAACCCATTAATATTTCCCAGTGATTGCACCCAAGAAAATTCATTTTCAGAAAATGTTTATTTGACATGGGAAGGTTTTCCTATATTCATTTACAAAGAATGATTAATGGGTACTGCATGGATATGACAAACATAAGGGAGTCAGGAAGATATGTTAACAGCTAAGGATTTTTCTTGAAAAGCTAAGTAAAGGCTATCTGTAATTTAACTGTGTACTGCATATGAAATACTTCTTTTAAAATAAAGACCTATATAGTAGAGAAGGGTATGTGACCACTTGAGAGTAATTCTATCTCATGCATAAGAATTCCCGATCTTCCTTTTCCTACTTTCAGAACCCCTTATTCTTCTATCATTCTTAGTTATCTTGCTGAATCATCTCATAATATTCTTCTAGCAAAACTAAATTTTTTCTTCCAAATTATGTATTACCTTCTTAAAATGAAAGCAAAATGAATTGGAACTCATTCTGTAATTGTACGGTTTAGAGATCTCATGAATGAAAGATCTTAATTTCTTAGTTAATACAGTAAATTATCCATACTAATTAGAATATAGCTGGGGCCTATAAAAAATAATCTAAGCAAAGTCACAATTAAACACTAATAACTTTAGTGTCTTCACTTTTTACTTCTATTACAATTCTGATCAACTACTAGCACTTTAAATGGGAACCCAGATATTTTAGGCTGAAATTTACATTCCTTTGGCCTACCTTAGATGCTTCCTAAAACTGTTTGGTAGGATTATCTATATAATCTAAAGGCCCACCAAAAACATCTCAAATACTGTTCATTAACCTTGCCCAAATTACTTTGGGTAGCAGTCTATAAGTCTTTGAGGATGTTTAGATATAAATGGGTTTTTATTCCAGAAAATCTAAGCTTATAGGAGACAATGAGGAAAATCTATCTACCCACCACCCCAGGCCCTAATTCCCAATTTCCCAACTATGAATTTAGCCATGAAAATGTAGTTAAGATGGCTATGAAAGCTCTCAACTTTTCCAGAATAAAATTCTTCCCAACTGGAAAGCAAATCAATATACCTTTGAATCCCTCCTTCTGAAAACATTTCTTCATACATTTTTTTTAAGTCTTTACTGACTAAGCAGATAACCTAAAGCTCTCATTTATCCCCGGGATGAAACTTCATTCCAATCTCAGTAATACTTTGTTAAATTCTCATCTCACACTGAAAGAAATTTTAATATAGCAACCTTGATGTTTAATATAAATTTACTTTAGATAAAATTACAACTATTTTTTTTCTGAAGTAACACAATTTCATTTATTCAACAGGCTTACTAAGTGAGCTGCAAGTTCATGTCAAAACCTTATTACCAGATAGTAATTAATTTTCTATTTGTATTTTTAAATGTGAAGAAATCTACTCAAAATAAAATGAACCAGGATTATCTTAACTCTTAAGAATCCTCAAGAGTTTGAATCAAAAAGCATGTTTCCAGGTTTTCAAGGTAATTCAAGATATGCAATAATGCACAAAAAGCCAAATATAATCCCCAAAGCATTAATACTCAAGGACTAGACCAAATGTTACATATCAGTATTAAAATTCTCATAAAACATCAGAGCTATTCTTTAGAACACTGGCCAGTATCATTCTCTACAATAACAGCTAAAGGGCACTTGAAATGTGGCTAGGGCAATTTAAGGAACTGATTTTTCAGTGGCCAGTGACTACAACTTTGGACTATACGGTGTGTATGTGTGTACAGTATACAGTGGATTATACTACACAGTGAACTTTAGAGCCTTAACCATCTTTTGATGTTGCTCAGAAATAGGAGTATGTGAAAGGTACCAAAGTGATGCTTTTTAGAAAGTCATTCTAAAAACAAGGGGGTGGAAATCTTAAATCTCATAGAATACTACTGTCAAGTTGTCATCAACAAGCCTTTTTTGTTTCCCCTGATAGACTACAGATTTTCTGAAGTCTAATTATGATACTATAGTAATATTCTAAGTATTATAATGGAGGGAAATGTTTAATTCCTTTAGGCTAGAACTTATTCTAAGAAGTAAAATCTACGTAAGAGTATTCTGAATTATAATTCCAGTTCTCGTATTAATAAAAACCTATCCAAGTTATTTCATCTCTCTACAACAGCAACACAGCAGATCACTTCTTCCGTAATCCAAAAAAGTGTCAGGAATAATGAAATCCATAATGTAACTACATGCATTTCATAACCCAAGTTATAACTGTGTACCTTCTGTATCTTTCTCATTTAAAAAACCCTAAGTCAAAAAGAAAAAAAAAAAATCCTAAGTCAATTTACTTCCCCCTTTTGTCAACCCAACTATTTACATAAATACAACAATTATCTTAGGTATTTCTTAGTCAATGGCAGAAAAAGGTTAAAAGGAATTATTAGGAGGGGGTCAGTCAGATAAGAAAAATAAGCCCTGTAATATGAAAATTATTTTCTACAAAGATAATTGCAGGTATCTTAAAAGACAGTATTAAAGGGAACTTTTAATTGTAAGAACATGGAACTAAGAAAATGCATCTGACCTGTATATAAAATACGATTTTAAAATACTTAGCAAAAATTAACAAGTTACAAAGAGGTTCATATAGAAAAGAAGAGGACAACTACAAAAACAAAAACCACAAATACAGAATATCTCAGTTGTCATGTGTTGGTTTTTAAACCATGAATTATGAATCTTTTTATTACATCATATAGACTTCTCTAGTATAACTCATACATTTAATCTAAATAAACTACAATAACAAAACAAACAGACAACCTACTAAATGGTTCAAAGAAATTCAGTGTTAATCACCGAGGAAAATCTAAGGAAAGAATGAATAACAAGGCTGTATTTAACCATTCTAGCACTGCCAGGACCCGTGTGATAAATTTTCAATTAAAATTTACATCTTACCCCAAGCACTGAGCTTTCCTAAACTATAAATTTAAAACTTCTACAACACTTAAGAGAACTGTAGCTCCACTGGGATGTGGAAATATTTATCAGTAAAAGCAACCAGGCGCACTGCCTACACCTCTGGACCTCTATAAACATTTATGATTAATAGTAAACCCAAGGAAATTTTGTGTCAAAGATTACATTTAAATCTTCTACCCAATAAGCCTCTAACTTGATTACCAAGAATGAGTGCCCCCAAGGACAATTTTTTAAATATTCGTTTTCCAACATTTTTGATTTCACTGTTTATGAATCAAATTCACACAAATATGGTCAAAGTTCTGTAGTCACTCCTTACTGAGGATGCTGCTGGCTGGCTTCTGGGTAGGAAGACGATGCTATGGCAGTAAGGCACAGTCTGATGAGCTGATATTCCATAAGATACGGATTTATGTTGATCCATCCACATCTATCCACTCACGTTTATGTCAAAGAGCACTCATGTGCAAGACAATTAGTGGGGTTAAGGATTACAGCAAAGCTGAGATCAAATCTGTGATCTTTGCTTAAATGTTTTAGGCTTAAAACTAAAAAACCACAAACTCCATTTATATTTATTAAAATGAAAAAGATTTGGGAAGTTAAAAAAAAATACTATTAAAACAGTGACCATTTGAAAGAACTTTCCTTTTACTCTATAAAAGCCTTCATTTCAACCCCTCACAGGGAATCAAAAGGGTCAATGCTCCCATAAAATGTCACCAATAGTATTCCACAAACATCGGTATATAGAACATAATCTTACAAATGTATTTGCAAGATACAGCTAAGTAACTAGAACTAAACATTTTATAAGTGATCATTTCCTCAAGGTGTTTACTACTATTGTTGGGTAAAAGTACAGAGACCTAAAAAGCAAAACAAAACCCTACCCTTTTTCCTCTTCTAAAATTTTGGGATTTGTTTCTGCTTAAAGTTAACCTACATATTTTTTCAGTCTGATCTTCTACGAAACTAGCTCAAAGAGTTCTGATATCAAATACTTGTATATACCCTCCCATAGGAGAAATCCGCTTTTCTTTAGCCCTCTGAACTTTTTTTCCGGCTTTCATGAAAGACTGCTTAATACAAAATTCGAATACCCAACTTTTCCCCCCGGGATTTCTTTGGAATAATTCCCCCCAACTTTTAAAATCTGACAACCGCTTTTGATGACAGACAAGACTAAGGCACCACACTGTCAGTGTTAAGACTGAAAATGGCAGAGTACTAAACTTCAAATATATAAATACATATACATAAAGTCTCAATCAAAAAGAAACATTCATCAGGATTCACTAAGCACTTTTCCCATGTTCAACTAAGGTTAAAATAGTTATGATCACTTATTTTCTCAGGGTAATCCCTTGGAATTTTTCAATATTCTCAGCTGGAAATGTTTTCTCACATAATCTCCATATGTCTTTCCCAACTCTGTTAAATGCTTAATCTGCAAATTACTAAAAGCGTATGTATCAGAATTTCTAAGTATGTCTGTTTGGCCCTCTTATCATGATCTATATTCAGCTACTACAAGATTTAAGTCATTTGCAAATGTCAGTTAACCCTTCCCTCTTGAGATGTGCAGGTAGCCTGATTTGGGGATTAGCAACCGAGCTACTCAATTGGTTTTATTAAAATAATGTCCAAACCAACTATCCCTTCCTCACTGGTGTAGTATAACTTGCTTTAACTGCTGAATCCCATGTAAATATAAATCATCACTGGGGACTGTAAGTTGCACTAGCTAATTATCATGTCTGGCTTCATCATACAGAACTTGCTCTCTCTTAAAATGCCACGGGTCAAAAAAAAAAACACTGTGAAAATGTCACCTGTGAATAGCTCAGGGGAAAAAATATACTATCAAAAGATTTCTGATTTGGGTTCTGTTCACTTTCTGATTTTATAAACAACAGGATTTGTTTACTTGTAATAATGGAGGTGTTTAGTTTAAGATGATATGGCCAATGAAGGCAATCTGAGTTGGAGAGAACAGGTCTCTCTGACCCACGTATCCCAGAACTGCAAGAAAAGAAGTGGGGACGAAGTCCCACATCGTAAGGGCATCATATTATCTAGTCCAGTCCTTGGACAGATGTCTGAGCTTTGGAACCAAGGGCAAGAGGTGATAACTAGTCTATGGTATCATTCAAAACTCCCACCCCCGCCCTAGTAATTCTCCACCCTCCCAGATCCCCCAAGCGTGATTTTGCACAACAAGTTAAATAAAAGTAAACTGTTTATTAAAAGATACAGCAAAGGTACAGATACAGAGATACATACAAAGATACAGATATATATATATATTTACATATATATACAGTCTTGCTGTTTTCATGTGCACTATACTTAGCAGCACATTATTTAATCAGGCAGCATTTTAATGGGGTTGTCTTGACACTTGGCATTATTACTGCGTCATTTTGACAAGATACAACTATAGCCTCATGGAAATTTCAAGGTGTGAATTCCACTTCTCCAACTTTTAATAGTAGCAAAGAGGGGAAGGAGAAGGGAAACGGGAGTACCAAGGCTGAGCATTAGGTTAAACACAAGAATTCCAAAGGGCCAAGGTAGCACAGGGAAGGGAAAATGATTAAAATTAAAGGCTATCTGACAAACAACCCAGAGAAACCATTATTTAAGGGCAATGGGCTATGTATCCAAGATGCTCACACATTAGCCTACAATGACCTTTTCCAATTCAGTTCTTGTGTTGAACCTGAGGATCTGCCTCTCTCTGCTCAATCCCTCCACCCAGTAAATTTGCTACCACCAAAATCTAGAGCTATAGAGCCTTGAAGCAAAACGGGAAGCTAAATAGTTGTACCTTGGGCTACCTTCCCATAAGTGCAAGGAGGGCCCAATGTTGGGTAGGGATGTGATAACACTGTTCTCTGCAATTCGATGCTTTTCACTTTGTGGCTTGGTTCCACAAAGTGAATTGCATCGAGTTACTGTCAAATGAGAAGCTGCGGGTTGTTTCATCTGTCGTCTAACCCGGCCCTGCCGTTTAACCCGGCCCTAAGAAGAGTGAAACAGAATCCAAATCAGATATAAAGTAACAATAAAATGGGAGATTCAGGTATTAAAAAACAAAAAAACAAAAAACACAATATTCCTCTTAACTTACCTCAGAGGGCAAATTGCTGCTGAAAACATTATCATCATCTTTGTTTTCTTCACCATTTTTCTCTACAGGAACCCATTCTCCATAAACACTATCTGCTTCTTTTTTTCGATGCTGAGATCCAGATGACACAGGAAACTCTTTTGTTAATGTTACCTGGCTTTTTGGTGGAGTTGGCTTTGCTGCAGCAATCTAAAAAATAATGTATTTCTTTAATTAAAACTCAAAAGACTTTCAACATAATCTGAAAACAGTTTTGTTCATTATTTCTCATGGTATTTAATCCAAAAATTAAAACACTAAATTCCATTTAA